AATTTGAATGGCGGCCATCTTGGTTTCAACCGGCCTCCAAGATGAACGAAGCAGAGCCAATCAGCAAGCTCAATTCAAAATTTCTGGCGCGAAAAATATTATCAGACAACGAAAACGAAAAGGAAGATTCAAACACCTCAGAAGAATCAGAACCAGAAAGCGAGGAAGATCCAACAAAACACCAAATAAATTCAGCGATGAAAACGCTCTTTGCTGCATTTGGGCCAAAACTGAAAATTACTAAAAAGACACCAAAAAAGCGAACGAGCAAGCCAATGCCTCAAGACCTGCCCGCTCCCATCCTGACTACTAGAGCGCTGACGCCGGAACCCAGAGAGCCCTGCCGATACCGCCCTACGCCGCAGACCGAAGCAAGCACCAACGCTCTCAATAGAAGAGGAAGAACAGCCACCGTCACCAGAACCCCCAAAGTCGAACCAGAGACCGACTCATCTGAAGAAGAGCAGAGCGAGCAGGCCGCGGTGAGGAGAACCTTCCACGACGACGCCGAAGAAGAAATGAGCAACGCGCATGCGCGAAACTACGCTGACTATCCGGGAAGACATGAACAGGAGAGAAGATCATGCAGACTCGTAGCGAGCATCCCCACGCCGTTTTGCAATTTTCTGCATTTACGAGACCACGGACTACCTCAGGTTGTAAGTAATGGACCCAATAATGTCGGAAATTTACCCAGTGACTTCCCAAAACTAAGGGTTGATGGCATTAATTTACAAGAATGGTATCAACAGCTCCAGGTTGTCTTTATGAAGGAAAACTTACTGTTTTTTATCACTAGTCCCCCAAAAAGACCTTGGACACTAAAAATAGATTGTTTACATCATAGAGCTTTTTTCTTAATAATATCTAGTGTGTCTCCTGCAATGTATCACAGCATTAAGCCAAATTTGACTGTTTCAGAAATTATTCAATGCATGTTTAATTTGTATCACAGTGACAGTGTAGCTACCACCACAAGGATATCTAAAGACTTCTTTTCATCTAGGATAAAACCAGGGGTTTCCATAAGTGAACATTTAATATCTTTGAACAAAATAAGAGCTGAACTGCACTTGAGGGGGGAGGTGATTTCAGACCAAACAATGAAAAGTGTTATTATCAACTCACTTGATCCATCATGGGACAATTTTATGTCACATTTAGACACAATCAATCTAGGGTATTTATCCATAGAAAGTCTATCTAACAAATTGATAACAGAAGATAATTCTAAAAGGAAAAGCAACTTTGGAAAAGAATAAAATAAATGTAGGCACTGTGGTGACTAAGGGAGGACTACCTTACCTAATAACAAAAGAAAAATGGTTACATAACATTGATTCAAATATAGAAGATTGTATTGAAATAGATGATGAGAATGTTAGCAACAGTGACAATGATGAATGTAAAATATCTCATAATCACACAGATGCACACGACGATAAGAAGCCAAAGATAGGTAAACCAATTCATGATGAGTGTGCTCACATATTGCATAGGAAGTTAGGACATGCCAGTTTTCCTGTAGTGCAAAAAATGACTGAACACGCAGAAGGTGTTAAAATAAAAAATTGTGAAAATTATCTGGAATGCTCAGTATGTAAATCTACAAAACTAAAAACTAGTCCCAGGCCAAGAAAATCTACCAGATCAACTAACAAAATTTTTGATTTAGTACACATGGACTTAGTTGGTCCATTAACTCCATCAATCACTTATAGGAAACGTTACTTCCTAACAATAGTGGACGATTATAGCCGCTATGGATTTGTTTACACATTAAAACACAAAGATGAAACATTTCAAAAATTTAAAGAATTTTACAAACGCATAGAAACACAACACAACATCAAAATAAAACAAATTATGACAGACAGAGGATGCGAATTCATGTCTAAAGAATTCTCACAATGGTTAAAAGACAAAGAATGTTACATTACACATCTAGTCCATTTTCTCCGTTCCAAAACGGGATTGCAGAGAGAAAAAATTCCACATTACAAACCATGATTAGATGCACATTAGAAGATGCTGGCTTAAGCAAACAATTCTGGTCAGAAGCCTTACATTATTCAAATTACACACAAAATAGAACATGGTCCAGCATTATAAATAAGACACCATATGAAGTGATGTATAATAGAAAACCAAAATTAGCACACATGCATATATTTGGAGTCACAGCAGACGTACACATACCTAAACAATTAAGAAGAAAGGGAGAAAATGTGTCCAGGAGACTCAGATTTATGGGATATGAGACTGGCACTAAAGGATACAGATTCATTGATAGTAACAACAAATTTATAGTCTCCAGAACAGCTGTGTTCCATGAACAAGCTAACTGGTCTAAATTACATCTTAATGAGATATTCCCAAATAAACATGAAGATACGAAATCTCATGAGAAAGGGACTATAGAAAAACAAAATATCAACAAATATAAAAACAAAAACAAAACTTGGACAAATAGCCAACTCAAAATAAAGACAGACACACTAACAAAAAAGGAAGCAAGATATTTGCATGATAACGATAGTAAACCCGAGAAAATCATTAGAAACACCAGAAATCAAATGCCAAATAAATACAAGGATTATGTAATGCATATGAATGGTGAACCAACAACACCCAATACATACGAGGAAGTGTTAAAACTTCCTCACGAAGAAAAAGAAAAATGGGAATTAGCAATGAAGAAAGAGATGGAAAGTTTGCAAGGACTAAATGTATTTACACCTGCATCTGCACCTAAAGATAAGACAATTATTGGTACCAGATGGATATATAAAATTAAGAATTTAGAGGGAGGAAATACTCTATACAAAGCTAGATTGGTTGCACAGGGTTATGCACAGAAATATCCAGAGGACTATACTGACACGTATTCCCCCACTGTAAGAACAGAGAGTGTCAAAACAGCTCTAGTGGTAGCTTCAGCACTCAATCTAGATGTATTCCAATATGACATACAGACTGCGTACCTACACGCAAAATTAGATAAAGAAATATACGTGAGAGCACCTCATAGTCCATACACAAACAGAAATGAGACTTGGTTGTTAAACAAGAGTTTATACGGACTAAAGCAATCTGGTAAACGGTGGTATGATTGTTTAGTAAAAGTACTTAAGACCATGGACTTCAACGCTACCACTGCTGATAATTGTTTCTTTGTCAAGAGGGGTGATGATTACATTGAATTTGTATTGATTTATGTGGATGACATTTTATACATAGGAAAACATAAAGAAAGAAGAGAAACTTTTGTAACTAAACTAAATGAACATTTCTCATTGAAATCTTTAGGCAAGGTAAACAAATACCTTGGTGTCCAAATTAATAAGACAAAAAGGGGATTCAAACTTACCCAGAGAGATAAGATCATAGATCTTTTAAATAAATGCAACTTAAACAATGCCAAACCTTGTGATACCCCTATGCAAACTGACTTTCTAAGAAATTCTGATGAATCTTCTCCCGAGTTCAAGGACAATACATTCTATAGATCAATCATAGGTTCACTCCTTTACATATCTAATTGGACTAGACCAGATATCGCCTTACCACTCAATTTATTATCTAGGCATGTCAGCAAACCAACAATGTACCACTGGGAAGCTGTTAAAAGAATTTTAAGATATTTAAAAAGTACACTAGACTTTTGTTTAATGTTAGAGCCTAATGATATTAAAGAACCAAAGCTTACGTGTTATGCAGACGCAGATTGGGCTGGAGACACCTCATGCAGAAAAAGCACATCTGGTTATGTATTTCTCTTAAATGACTGTCCAGTTTACTGGTACACTGGTAAACAAGAACTAGTGGCTACTTCAACAACAGAAGCGGAATATGTTTGTTTATCCAAGGCCGCAAATAACCTTGTATGGTTTAATGATTTAATTTCAGATGTCTGGAAAAAACCTGCTCTGCCTTTTGTTATGCATGAAGACAATAAAGCAGCCATTGAAATATCTAGATCTGATGCCATTGGACAAAGGTCCAGACATATAGATATAAAATTTAAACATGTGAGACAATTATCTCAGGATGGATTTATTAAAGCAGTGCATTGCGACACTTCAGAACAATTAGCTGATATATTAACAAAGCCTTTACCTTCCAAACAGCATAAATACTTAACCTCTAAGTTGTATGTTTTATATTGTCCTGAATCTGAATGTAACTGGTGTTGTATAACGAATCGGCATTTAGAGGGGGATTTGTCAGATATAAATGCCTTATTCTCCAATGTGTAAATAGTGTACAGACAGGGTATCAGGGGTTAACTTATTCTTCACTTCTTAATGTATTCATAATTCACCACTCCCACACATAGCTCCACCCATTGTATATATAAGGAGCTACCCACACCCTTTCCTTTGCTTCTATCTGTGAATATTCAGTGAATATAGAATGCCTAATGTAAATAAAAGAATATATAGTTAAATCTTTAACTCTTGTTGATCTTATTGAGTCTGATCCTGAAAATATTGCAACAGTGCAGCAGTCGCCAAGAGGTACCCGCTTGAGAGGAGGGCGAGAAAGCTGCATCTGGCTAGGGCTAGGCAACGTTGGAAGGAGGCTAGGAAACTGGCAGCGAGGCCGAAACGCCTGCGAGCCCGTGGCCGCTTCCTTACCGCCGCTAGGGGAGGGGCGCCTGAGGAGAGAAACCGAGCGCATGCTGGTATTCAGACTCCCGGGAGACAAAGAGGCCGGGAGCTTTTCTTCAGCGGTGCCTGCGCGGTGGGGATGCTGCTTGGCTAGTAAAGGACCCCGGAGAAAGTAGGTGCTGTTGCGCGGTGCCGGACTTGGGTGAATCCGGATATTCCTCCTTAACTCGAGACAGGAAAGTGAAATGAAGTGTGGAAAAACATTGGCCTCAGAGGAAAAGTTTTAATTCCCCCCTGGATGGGTGGGTCTGTCCGCCGGCTTTCATCTAGATAGGAAAACGCCGCTTTTGCTTTACTTATGGTTTCACGTCTTCAAACTTTTTATTTTACAAATACTCGATAAAAACTGTGGCTTATCCATTGCTTTAAAACCAGACTTTCCAGAAAGGATATGGAGGTTGTTTTTTTCTTCTTTTTCAGTGACTTGCTTTTAGCATGTTTTGACAAATTCTAACCCAATCTGTTTGAATTACCCTCCTTTAATATACCGGGGGCTGCTTCTCTTTATCTTATGCTTTGCTTATCCCTTTATCAGATGGTTAATGGTTTGTGCAGCCCTTTATGCTGCATAAAAAACCATTCAGCAGAGGCATTTGCTTTATGAAGACTCCTGAAATTTTTGGTTTCCCCGAAAGTCTTCTGGTAAAGGAATATATATAGGCAGCTATCTTTCAGGGTATGAAATGCTCGTCTTAGACTTTCTTTTGTTTGGAGAAATCAAATAAAAAGAAATCATGAGTAATTGGTACCTCCGCCATCAGATACAAGTAAAATAACTGCCTCTATCCATAGTAATGATTAAAGGAGAGAGAAGCTATTACCCACAAAACATTTGTGCTGAATTTGAGATTTAAACCAATTTAAAGTTGTACAAACACACTTAGATAACTGCCCTAAACTCTTGGTAACTTAATTCCCAAAGACTAAACATTAGTTTTGCAAAGAACTATTGTTAGCTATTTGCACTGATAAGTGCTCAGTTTCCTATATTGTTTTCAACATATTATGAATACAGATGTACTTTTTCTTCTATGAGCTTTGAAATGAGTTTTAACTGAAAGGTACTTTACTAACTTCCCTAGGTTATAGCAGAATTTCCAGACAACTGATCTGATGGGAGAAGTTAGGATTTCCAATAATAGAAACAAATATTGGCAAGAAATGTATTATTTTTCTGATGTTACATTTTAGAAGTATGTTGAAATATTCTGGGAAAAGAAAGCAAAAATCTTGTTTCAGCCCAGAAACTAATAGAACTATTTTAATTCTGACTTTGAAGACAAGACAGAATTCTGTTGAAAAGCAAAATCTAAATCCATTTGTCTCTCATGTTTAACTGGAGAAGACGATTAAGTGTTAATTTTTTGTGGAGACATCACTGTTAGACATGGTGTGTGAATGTATGTGCACATGCCTGTTCCTTGGCCATACCCAAGCGTTTTTGTGAACTCTTATAAAATTTGCCTTGTCCTATTTCTCTTTTAGTTCCATGTTGCAATTTAATATATGGTAAGTTTTTTCTTCTTTTGTATAGTTTTATCAATTGATTATTTACTGTCTGTCTCTTCTTTAATATTGCAGTTTTGGAATATTATATACTTCAGTACATTATTTTCATGTGTAGTGAACATTAACATTTAATGTTTATTATGTTTATTATGTTTTCAATTGATCAAATTAATGGTCCACTTTCCTCAGCTTTATCACAACAGAAGCCAAGTATGGATGCTTCAGATCTCTTTTTTAAGAAATAGTACATAGAAGTACTCCTTGGCATTTGACCGGAATTGAGTCCGGAATTACAATTGTAAATAGTTTTGGTTGTAAGTGGATCATCAGGTGACTGTGCCTGATTTTATGACCTTCACTGCAGTGTTGTTAAATTAATGTGTCAGTTCTTAAGCGAACATTGTCAGTTCTTAAGTGAATAGGCGTTTTTTGCCAGAAACCAGAAGTAAATACTAATTTCCCATTAAAAAATCATAAATTCTGGTCATGTGACTGCTGGACACTGCAAACAGCCGTAAGTAGGGACTGGTTGCTGAGCACCCAAAATGCAATCATATGACTATGGGGGCGGGGGACATCAGAACTTCAAATTGGGGTCATCAGTATCCTGAGGGAGGTCTATCATAACTTTGAATGGTCACTAAGTGAACAGTTGTTGGTCAAGAACTACCTCTTGTCCCATCACCTGGAAGGCACTAGATTAAGAGCAATTTGTAAAGTTCTGTACATTTGAGCTGTACAGCTGTATATATTGTATATGTATGTATGTGTGTATAGTTATTTAGTTATTTTTGCTAAAAATCATGTAATAATGTTACATGTGGGCCATGGTTTGGACATGCCTGTTTTAGAATGTGCCTTATAGAATATGCCTTAGTTCTACATGACTCTTACTTTGCCTTTCTTAACTTCAGGAGCGGGGAAAAAAACAGCCAGCAGCTGGAAACTGGGCCCCAAATGGAATAAGAGATAAATGATAGCCTGTGGTTTGGCCCTAAAACATTGAAAGAAGTGTGTGATAAGCATCTCTGTGGTAGAAATGCTTATTCAGGCATTCTTAATATGCCTCCTAGCATTAGTACAGCTGCTGTATGCCAAGAATACTTCTGAGTCAACCTTTTTTCTCTATCAGATGAAAATCTGCTTGAATGAGCTTTGAGAATTTGGGGGGCTATGGATTGATGAGTTTTCCATTTTCTCACTCATGTTTTTCTTGGTTATATTTCTGGAAAGAAATAGTTATATTACAAATTAAAAGAAACTGATACTTCAATCCTAAAAAGCTTTGGAGTAGAAGACTCCACAGTTTTTAAAAAAATAATGGATCTATTTATGATCTCTTTTGTTACAACACAATTTATGCAGTGCTGTGAATTTGGACTGAACCAGGCAGTTGCCCCAATGTAAAATAACACAACACCCCAAAGATCAGTAAAATAGCTGCCCTGAGTCTCCGGAGAAAGGCGGCATATAAATTGAACTAAATAAATAAAATAAAATGATGATAAGTGGGAGTTACTCATGACAGCATATAAGAGACCAGCTCCCATTATTTCAGTTAAAATAACAATAAATTCTTTTGTATTAATTCCCCTATCCAATCACTTATTTTCCTCTAGTATGTCAAAAGATTATGAGAGTGAATTTTCTTTTGATAAGTGAATCTTGTCTGAGCTATAACCCAGTTGGATTTGTAATTCACATTAATTCAGCCATTTATTTATTTATTGGGGGGAATAGGCAGCCTTGCACATTTATACATTCCTCCATTTAGCACAATGCCTGACTAAATTATCCTTAATAAAGGATTACTCAGGAGAGATGACTTCTGTGAAGGGGCCACTGGGTCACTGGACCTTGTTGTGGGAGAGTTTCAGCTTTGCTAAACTTTAAGCAAAATCTTCTCTCTTCACAGAGGCTGTTTCTGTTTGATTAGTGTTCAAGTTGAACATTGTTGTGAATATGTTTTCTGGATTTTATTTATACATTCCATTATAATCTGAATTAATTCTCATCTGTGAACTGGTGAATATTTTTATCTGTTGTGTCATTTATATTTCATTGTTTACATTCATTTTAATCTTTTATTCACAGCTTTGAAAGATTTTAAGATATGATGACAGAGAAAGTAAAGAGGGACCCCGTGACTGAATTTGTACATTATCTTTCCCCCAAACTCACCTTTATAGATTAATATGGTGCATTAGCCCATCCACCAGCTAAAAAGGATTACCATAATTTATTCCTGTAACATGTAGCAGTGGAAGTCAATAAAGTTGTATTAATGCTGGAAGATTGCTAGAGGTGGATTAGGAGAAGGAAAATAGCTGAGTGACAAAGTGTAATTTTGTGTGCAAAAGCTTCCATGCTGGGATCCAGGACTTGTAGGAAGCCATGATAAAGTGGTGTCCGTCCTTGTAGACACAATATTGAGTTGGATCAACCAATGATCTGACTTGGTGTAAGACAATTCCTTATGTTTATATGGATTTCATTAGTGTTCGAGAACATTCATGCAGTTTAATTTAGGTCCAGATTCTATTGCTGAAAATATTTGGTCTACTTAATTTGTTTTTTTAGTTTGTCAGTTGAGAGATTGGCAGAGGCTGAGTAGTGACTAGATATGAAACAGAGAGTGATGAATGGTCTGTCTTATCTTGAGTGAATTCATGAGGCTGAATTCAGTTCTGAGCAAGTAATTTTCCAGGTTAAGGTCATAACAACTATGGAACACTTGTTTCTTATAGAGATTGATCTCTGACTTCAGGGGAATACTAGTATCTGTAACTGAAGACAGAAACTCAGTGAAATGTCTACATTTGCAATGGAAATGAAAAATAGAATTATGTTTAAGTTCTTAGTGTCACTGGGAGGTTTTGACCCATCATATTTGTAGGTATAAAGTTTGGAAGGTTGTTCTGAAGAATAAGAAAAAAGTATGAGAAACCTTTTCAAGCTGTTTTAAAATCTTTAACTGGAGTTTCACAATATTGCATAATGTGCATGTTGACTGATGTTATTTGTAGACTGTTACATTGTACATACATTTCAATCATACTTCTTAAGATCAACAAATAACCCATCTTAACCCACTCCTTAATAACCTCCTAGATTTTGTGCTATATACTATGGGATGGGTGAGGAAGCGAACAGATACACCTCTCAGCTCAAGGATGTGTATGACAGCTGTGATACCACGGGCACTGGGTATTTGGACAAGGAGGAACTGACTGAGCTTTGCCACAAACTACATCTGGAAGGAGAGCTCCCTTTACTTCTGGAAACACTTTTGGGGAATAATCACCTTGCCAGAGTAAGTAACTGGAAGACTTCCAAGGGATGAATTGCCCCCGGAGATTCGTATGATCCCTGACCTACGTACCTTTCGTCATGCCCTTAAGATTTTACTGTTTCAACAGGCTGGACTGGCTTAATAACGAATTTTAATGGGTGTTTTAGTTTTAATATAGGGCCAAATTATTTAATATGTTTTAAACTGTTTTTAAATTTTCTGGATATACATGTTTTATTGTGGCTGTACACTGCCCTGAGTCCCTCGGGAGAAGGGCGGTATAAAAATTAATTAATTAATTAAATAATTAAATAAATAGCTATAAATAATTGCCTTTTTAAGTGTCTGTCCTTTTCTAATTTGTGGTCTGGCAAGCTGTCCTCTTGAACATACATAGGTGTCATCAAAAGACTGCTGCAAGCAGAAGTAAACTTCATATTTCCAGTATGTCTAAGATGCTCCCTAAAGTCATAGCTGGCGTAAGTAGTATAGTTAGTTATAGAACATAGAACATAGCTGGTGTAAGTAGTAAACATTGGTACTGCAACCCTAAAGGACTTTAATTATTAGAAGAGAAGAAAAATGCAAGGTATATTAAAATTACAGAAGATACTATAGTGTAAATTCAAGAGTAGCAAAAATTAGTTTTGCCATAGTTCCTCCTGTAAAACTGTGGTTTATATATGTGTTTTGAACAGGTCTACTGAAAATAAGATTAGGTTTGATGCTACATTGTCTGCTTCTTGCTAGCTTACTTTCTCTTCTCCCATGTGGTGTTACACATGCTCCCAGGTTTGGCTTACAGTCACTCACTCATACACTTACAGCCTATTAAAGCACAGAGATTTGTAAGTCCTCTTTACATTCTACTCAGGTTCTCCAGATGGGTACAGCTACAGCAGACATGACCCTGTTGGGAAATAATTAAGGATGCACACATATCACTTCCAACTGAAGACTTGAGACACATCAGTGTCTTTGGAATACATGAATACACCCAGCAAATTTAAAGCATCTGCAAAACTTTACTGGTTGCAATATACATTTGTTCTTTCACACACACACACACACACACACACACACACACACACACACACACACACAGACCTTTCCCACATTCTTCTCAAGTAGGTTGCAAGCAAGTTAGAAGGAGATAAGCTTCCATGTCTGGATGAAAAAAAACGACCAAAGGAGTAGGCAGCTTCAGGACCCCCCATTTGCTCAGGCCCAGCTTCCTTTGTCTGCTTCAGTTGACATTTTTCCTTTTGTTTCCTTAACTTGTTTCTTTCATATCTTCCTCCGTGAAGAGATCTTCTAGGCAGGATTCCTGGTTTTTTGACCTCTCTGCTTAAGTGCCTGCTTCATCTTTAGGTTATGGAGCTTCAACCTAGTCTCACCGCAGTGAAAAAAAATGAGTTTTCATTTTGCTCAAGACAATTGAACAATGTTTTTCTTCCTATCTCTTACTAGGTTAATTTTGAACAGTTTAAGGAAAGTTTTGTGACCATATTGTCTTCGAATATCAATCTTGGCCTTTCAGATGATGAGAGCAGCTATCTGGAGCCAGGTGAATGAATAATGAGATGCATGAAATTGTTTTGGATTGTGGGATCCTTGGTGCTCTCTGAGTTTGGTGGTTTTCTTGCAGACTTGTCATTATTAAACTAGATAACATCATCACTGCTAGGCTAGTTATCTAATTTAGTAATGAAACGTCTGCAAGAAAACTACCACAATTTAACCCTGAGTTACAAATATTCCCTTCTATCTTGTTTTGGATTTTCTGCTTTAAGTTTGACTGTATTATAGATTAGCCACCAATTGATTTATCTTATTATGACTTGCTGCCTGATGGATTACTAATGAAACAAAGCAAAGATTGCTTAGTGAGTTTGTCTGTGCTGATTGATTTCAGGAAATGATAAAAGTAAGCTTTTGTGCACTTAAATCAGTTGTCTTTCTATAATGAAATTCCCAGAGATAAAAACATAATAGTTGTTATTTTGTTGATATACATTTCATGAACAAAAAGTTGAAATGGTTTCCTCTATGTCCTTTCATATAAATTAGCTATTATAAAGTTTATAAATGGCATACCCTATCTAATTATTTGTATATTCTACCTTTTCTTTGGGTGCCCAGGCAACTTAACTGGGTCTCCCCTATTTTATCTCCCAAAACTCCTGTCAGGTAGATCACACTGATAATGAAAGATTGGTACATAATGATCCACTGAAATCCATGGTTGAATAGAGATCTAAACCTGTGTCTCCGCAGTTCTATTCCAACAGTTATATTTATTGATTTCAACGTATCTTCTACTATTTTAGCATAACAGGTATAAGAAAGTAAACTTACAAGTTACACCTGAAAGAAAAAAAGAAGTATAATTTGAGACATCAACTGGGTACTGTTGTAAGGCATGAAATCCTTGGAACAGTTTTTTTTTTTTTAATTTGATTTATATGCCGCCCTTCTCCGGAGACTCAGGGTGGCTTACAATGTGCTCAGCAATAGCCTTCATCCTTTTGTATATTTATACAAAGTCAGCTTATTGCCCCCACAACTGGGTCCTCAATTTATTTACCTTAGAAAGGATGGAAGGCTGAGTCAACCTTGATCCTTGGCAAGATTCAAACCTGCAGTAATTGCAGGGAGCTGGTCTTAATAACCAGCTTAATAACAGGGTGCCTTAGACCACTGTACTACCAAGGCTCTTGGTAACTGTTGGTAACAGTAACTGTGAATGAGTTATACCAATAGTGGAAAAACTGAACGATTATTGGGGCAACAGTGTTAGAATTGGCAAAAAGAAAGAAAAGAAAAATGTTAGATCAGATCCAAATGCCTACCTACCCATCATTCTGTTCTACCATGGTGAATTAGATGGCTTTAGGAGGTTTCCTAAGTGGATTGGCTTTAAGTTCTTAAATGTACCTTGTGACATCCTCTCAATTGTGCTCACCAGCTCTGGGCATAGTTCCATGGTGAATGTTTTAAATGAAAACTTCGACTACTACCGGTATTAAATAGCATGTATAAGTAGCTTACAATCAGTATAGTTGGCCTCAAAAGCTCAAGTTTTTGAATTCATAGTTTCTTGGTTATGTTTTTAAAAACTTTATTTGGGATCAAAAAGAAGATTTAGAGGAGGGGACGTATTACTGCTTGTATTAGAACTGAAAGTATTTCCAATTTAGTTATTCCAGATGAGACTGAGCCCAAGTATATCACCGAGGCCAAAGGGTATGTTTGCCGGACAAGGCCAGAGCTTGAAAATGCCATGTTGGAAACCCCCAAATATTTACAAGAGGAGCAGAGAAATATAAATGTAAAAAGTCAGCTGAGACGCTCAACTTCTTTGGAGAGTGTGGAGGTATTTAAAGACCTATCTTCAAACTATTTGAAATGGATGTGTTACATTTTACTATCACTCGTGTTGTGTTGTAATTGTTCCTTTTGTTACATTTGGACTTGACGAAATAGCCATCTGAGTCTCTGGAATTCTTCTGTATTCTGATCTCTTCCAGATGCTCAGGAATGCCCCAAACCTGGCTGATATTCAGTAACAAAGGCATGGCTCTTTAGAGTCAAATTTGATGTTTCCTAATTTGACAGCCTCTGTAAAAATGAGTTATACAGATAGTCCTTGCTCAATGATTGCTCTGTCAGTGACTGTTTGATAATATGATAGTGCTGAAAAATAAATTTACAACCAGTCCTTGTATTTAATGACCATCACAGCATTCAATCTCAAGGAGAGTGTCAAGCTGCGTTGCGGACTCCGTGTGTGAGGAAAGGAAAACTCCCAACCAGGCTAGCTTTTAACAGTTTATTGGTTAGCACCTTCCTCCACGGGACACACAGCTAGGTTGACGGGTATGCAGGATACACAAAGTCAGCGTTGGGAGCGGCTGCCTCCCAACGCAATTTAAAGAATGCGCTAACAATGTATAACCACCGCCCTTCCGGGTACTAGTGCACAGGCGGTTCCAGGGCGGTGAGTAGCGAAAAGTTAACCCTTGCTCGTCCGCAATCGTGTCCGGCCGCCTACCATTATCCTAACACCCCCACCACCAGTGGTAGCAGATTCCAAAGCCCCGAAGCGTCTTTCGTTGATACCCCTCCCTCGTCTGGCTACCGTAGTTCGGCACAGTGTTCGGGCCCCACTATCCCGGGGAGTGGATCGGAGTGTCGAGCGGATCTCGACAGGCGGCTCCCCCTACCAGGGACCCTCCTGGAAGACACAAATAGACATATTAGCATCACATCAGGGTATTATGTCTCCACTCTAGGCCCGGGCTTATGAGGATACCGTCGGTGGAACTGGTTGAGTAAACGGTTAGCCTCTATGTCAGGAGCGGCCACCCACGTTGCTTCCTCTATTGGATATCCCTTCCACTTGAAGTAAATATTTGAGTTTCCCTCTACTGGTTTTTGAATCTAGAATTTGCTCTACCTCATATTGGTTATTTTGTAATGGCCCGGGTTTGACTCCTGGTTCTCTACTTATGTCTACTGGCTTTAGTAGGCTGCTATGAAAGACGGGGTGGACCTTGCCGAGTAAGGGTGGCAATTTGAGCTCGACGGTGACTGGATTTATCACTTTTACGATAGGGAATGGGCCGAGGTATTTCGGACTCAATTTACGGCTAGGCGTTCTTAACTTAAGATACTTTGTAGAGAGGTACACTTGGTCTCCAACTGCGAATTGTCTATGGTCTGTCCTCTTCTTATCGGCTTGGTGCTTATGCATGCGCGTTGCCTTTTCTAGGGCCTCCTTTATGTGCGGCCATCCTCTCCCAATAAGTACTGCCCAGGAACTGGGTGCCATCTGTTCTTGGGACTGCACGTCAAGTTCTGGAATGGCAGAGAATTCTTTCCCAGACACGGCCTGGAATGGAGTAACCCCGGTGCTTTCATGGACCCGCGTTGTTATACGCTATTTCCGCAAAGGAAGTAACTCTGACCAATCTGTTTGTTGGTACGATACATAGCATCGTAAATAGCGTTCTATCATGGCGTTTGCTCGTTCCGCTGCTCCGTTCGTACTCGGATGAAACCCTGAACTCAACCCTTGTGATGAGCCAATCATAGTAATGAAGTTACGCCAAAACCTTGAGGTGAACTGCACCCCTCTATCGGATATAATCCGGCGTGGTGCACCGTGTAAACGGTAAATGTGTAACACAAACATTTTGGACAATTTACGGGCTGATGGTATCCCTCGACATGGAATAAAGTGGGCCTGCTTCGTGAATAGATCTATTACAGTCCATATAACAGTATACCCATTGCTTTCTGGAAGATCCACAATGAAATCCATAGCAATCTCTTCCCATGGACGACTTGGTTCTGCTACGGATTGTAAGACCGAGAGGCTTTCCGGTTCGGGGTTTTGCACGGACACAAACACTACATTCTTTCACATAGGCCTCAATATCCCGTCTCATACGGGGCCACCAGAACTGGCGCCTCACCAAATGTAATGTTTTGAGGAACCCAAAGTGACCAGCTGTCTTAGCGTCGTGACATGTTTGCAACACTTTTCGTCGGAGACTCAGGGGAACGTATAATTTGGTTCCCATCCAGGTAAGGTCATTTCTTTGTGTTAACATCGTTTTGTTTTCTATTGCCCAGGCATCCGTTGCTAGTGCATCCTGTAGTTCTTTCTTCCAATGGAATGGTGCCACATGTGACGTCCGGCCTACCTGTTGAGTCCCTGGTATTACAGCCTGTACAATCTGTTCCCTTTTACTGTTATACTGGGGAAGACGTGATAGAGCATCAGCTAAAAAATTTGTCCCTCCTGGGACATATTTAAGGTCGAAATCGAAGCGTTGAAAGTATTGTGCCCATCGTACCTGTTTTGGCGATAGACGCCTTGGGGTCTGGAGCGCCTCCAGGTTTTTATGGTCTGTCCATACCTCGAACTTCTTCCCGCTGCCTTCTAATAAATGCCGCCAGGTGAGCAAGGCCCACCTTACCGCGAATGCTTCCTTTTCCCATATGCCCACCGCCTTTCTGTGGGGGTTAACTTACGGGATGTATAAGCACAGGGACTAAATTGGCCGAGGTGGTTCTTTGCATCAAGACCGCCCCCACAGCCACATCACTGGCGTCTGCCTGCACGACAAACTGCAAGGCTGGATCCGGATGCTGGAGGATTGGAGCCTGTGAGAACAGAATCTTTAACCTCTCAAAAGCGGTCTGACATTCAGGGGACCATGTTAACGCCTGCCCTGGACGTGCTTTTATGCCTGTGCCCTTAGTGCGAAGCAGGTTTGTTAATGGAGGGCTATCTGTGCAAAGGAAGGTATGAACTGGCGATAGAAATTGGCGAAGCCAAGAAAACTCTGTAATTGTCGTCGTGTTTTGGGTGCTTGCCAGTCCAGCACTGCACGTACCTTTTTCGGGTCCATTCCAACCCCCTCCCCTGATATCCTATACCCCAGGTAATCCAGTTGCTTGCAATGGAAGTCGCATTTCGAGAGTTTTACAAACATTTTTGCCTGTAAGAGCTTTTGGAGTACCTGTCTCACTAGCCGTACGTGCTCCTCCATTGTCTTGGTGTAGATCAAAATATCGTCCAAATAGACGAGAACACCTCTATAAAGGTGGTCGTGCAGGATTTCATTAATTACCTGCATGAAAACGGCCGGTGCCCCTTGTAGGCCGAATGGCATCACCTTGAACTTATAGCTACCCAGAGGACAGTTAAAAGTGGTTTTCCACTCATCGCCAGGTCTGATTCTCACGCGATAATACGCCTCTCGCAAGTCCAGTTTTGTAAACACCTTCCCCGTTGACAAAGTAGCCAATAGATCTTTCATGAGAGGTAGGGGGTATAGGTGTTCAACACAGACTGCGTTAAGGCCCCGAAAGTCCACACATACCCTCAACCCGCCATCCTTCTTCTCCGGAATAGAACGGGTGCGGCCATATGGGACCTACTCGGTTGCCTGTGTTGCTGGCCTACCCCCCAATAACGACCCATCCATTTGTTCGAAACGTATGGGAGTATGCAATGCCACCAGCTGTAACCCGAGTTCCATGGCTACAGACTTTCGAAGGAGACATCGGGTACAACCAGAGTCAATAAGGGCGTCTTGATGCACCACCACTGATGTGCGTAGGTGACGTAAGACCACAGGTATTACAAAAGGCCGTATCGGACCACTCACCATAGGGTCTCCGGTGGCTTCGTCCTCACTGCTGTCCGAGGGCATCGGAGTGCTCCGCTGAAGCGGAGGGGGTCTCGAGGTTATGGTTGACTCATGAGCAGACACCGATGTCGACATGGGTGTGGCGCCTTTGGACCATTCCGACGACGATCGGACTCGTTCTCTACCCTTCCCAGCGGACGATGGCGTTTTGGAGGCGACAGCCGTCACAGGAGGTATGGGGCATTCGGCAGCCCGATGACCCAACTGGTTACACCTGAAACAACGAAGCGTACCCCTCCCTACTGGGAGGAGGGAGCGAGGGGGGAAAACCCCCGGGCCCCGTGATCCCACTGGCCTCTCACTGCTGCGTCGGTTAACGGGAGGCAAACTGGTCACCCCACGGGCCGGAACTCCCGCAACCCTACGTCCAGGTCCACCGCAGCCTTAAACCACTCTGATATTTTTGGGGGTAGGCCTCTGTATACACACGCCTGTCGTAACTCTCGGTCTAATCCTAGGCGGAATTGATGTATGAGCAGGCGCTCCGGCCATGCACGTAGTCGGCCTGCCACCGCTCGGAATTCTTTCACATATTGCCTGGCTGGTCGGCCGCCTTGTTTTAACGCCACCAGTTCGCCCTCCAATAATTGGGTACGTGACTGATCCTCGAAGCGGCAGCGCAGAGCGTCCAGGAACAGGCCAACGTCAGCCAGTTCCCTGGCATGGTCGCTGTGCAAATCAGCGACCCAATCTGCTGCCTCGCCCGTTAGGACGGTGGTAATGGCCACCACCATAGCCCATTGTGAGGGAAGAGATGACCGTATAAATCCATGTAACTCAGTATTTGACTTAAGAAGAGGGAGACCCTGTCTGCACTGCCATCGAATGTGGCCTGAATGGGGGGAGGGCCCCATTGTTGCTGTGGGTTTTGCCATGGCCCGGGGGCCCACATGGGGCCCAGAGCCGCCGGCCGAGCATCCTGGCCGTCTCTATCCCCACCTCGTCTTTGGGCGCCCCTCTGCTGGCCAATATGTCCCTGCAACCCCTGCTGGACGGACGGTGCAACCCTCTCTCCCGCAGGCCCACCTGGGCCTGGCCTCGTGGGGCCCCCCGGGACGTAGACGGGGCAGTGCCGGTCAGAGGTTGTTCACCCTTCTCGATACGTAACCTCGGACTCGCCAGGTGAAAGCGTGACCCCGATGTGCTCTGTGACGTCCGCTGTCCCTGCCAAGTGCGTGACTCTGGTATCCATGGTTGCCACGAGGGGGCATCCCGGAAGCTCGCCTCGCCGAACTTTTCACGTAGAATCTCCAGAGTGGATGCTCCCAACCCGGTGGAACAACTCAGCTCACAGTCGTCCTCCTCCGTCCACCGTTGCTCCCTCCACCCCTGGAACGACGTCCCGCCCAGGTCTAGAGGGGACGGCAGCCACTCACCCAGCGGGAGCCTCTCGCCCCGAGAACTACAGTCCTCCTTGTCAGGGGTCGTGCTGCCCTGCCGATCCTTTGGCCGCACGACCGGTCCAAATCCTCAGACGCTACGTTGTCTGATAACGCCTCCGCATCCTCGTCGAGCACCTCCTCGGACGCTGGGGAATCAGTTGCGGCGCCCTCCGCCATGCTTCTGACACCGCCGCTGCGAGAAGGAAACGCTGACTTTCTGTCAAGCTGCGTTGCGGACTCCGTGTGTGAGGAAAGGAAAACTCCCACCAGGCTAGCTTTTAACAGTTTATTGGTTAGCACCTTCCTCCACGGGACACACAGCTAGGTTGACGGGTATGCAGGATACACAAAGTCAGCGTTGGGAGCGGCTGCCTCCCAACGCAATTTAAAGAATGCGCTAACAATGTATAACCACCGCCCTTCCGGGTACTAGTGCGCAGGCGGTTCCAGGGCGGTGAGTAGCGAAAAGTTAACCCTTGCTCGTCCGCAATCGTGTCCGGCCGCCTACCATTATCCTAACACCCCCACCACCAGTGGTAGCAGATTCCAAAGCCCCGAAGCGTCTTTCGTTGATACCCCTCCCTCGTCTGGCTCCCGTAGTTCGGCACAGTGTTCGGGCCCACTATCCCGGGGAGTGGATCGGAGTGTCGAGCGGATCTCGACAGAGAGTCACTTCTCCAACACATTGCCAACTGCGCTATAATTGTATCTTATGTTAGGCCACTGGAAAAAGTCAGATGTCCGTGGGAAGCATAGTTAATTTGAAGTTGGATTGGCAGCTTTACACAATCTTCACCCTGGTTTTGTCTTTTCTTGTTTTTCTATCCTTCTTTCTGGCTATTGGACTGAATCTATGGAACATTAAATTCCGTTCTCTTTTTTAGAGTCTCAAATCAGATGAAGAGGCTGAAAACTCAAAAGAAGAACAGCAGCAGACCTTTGAAGGCCAAGGTGGGGTTCAGCAAAAGAATGTGTAGCAAACATTGAAACATGTTTTTTATTGCTTCTTTTCTTGAATTTCCACTTTTGCCATCTGATTCAGTTGATGAGCTCAGGGTAAAGTTCTACTGGAAAGGCAGAGTATATTCCTTGCAGACAAAGCTTCTCTGATTCAAATTCTGCTCTTCAACTCCAGCCATAAGAATGGATAAGGTAAACTTATAGACTGAATCCATGGAAGGCAATCCAAGCTAGTTTAAGTATGTGAAATCTCTATCTTCCATCTTGGCCATATGGAAGCTCTCTTTCTTATCTTAGAGCCCTTCTGCACATCTGAACCAGTGGTGGGATTAATTTTTTTTACTACCGGTTCTGTGGGTGTGGCTTGGTGGGTGTGGCATGGCTTGGTGGGCATGGCAGGGGAAGGATACTGTAAAATCTCCATTTCCACCCCACTCTAGGGGAAGGATACTGTAAAATCTCCATTCCCTCTCCACTCCAGGGAAAGTTACTGCAAAATCCTCATTTCCTCCGGATCAGTTGGAACTCCGGAGGGAGAGAATAGATGGGGGCAGGGCCAGTCAGAGATGGTATTTATTGGTTCTCCGAACTACTCAAAATTTCCGCTACCGGTTCTCCAGAACTGGTCAGAACCTGCTGAATACCACCTCTGATCTGAACTCATATTCTTAGAGAAGAAAAAAATCTCAGAAAGAAACTAGCTCCTCTTTCCTCAACCATTTTCTTAAGTATTGCCACGGGTGCTACAGCAAGGCTTTAAAATAGCTTCCCTTGTCAGTGGGGGCCATTTTAAAGTTTCACTGTATATAGAATGTGTGTAAATCCCAAAATCACACAACTGCAGTGAGATGTTCTCTCACTCATTTTGAACACTGATCCCACCCACTGTAGGGTAGCCCTCAGGCTGAAGTAAATTCCCTATTGCCAAGCTTGACACTTATTAGTCCATTTTCCTCTGGACTCTGGGAAAAGATCATAGGATCTGTATTTTACATGTAACTTGGGAAGCTGGGTTATTAAGCTAGTAATGGACAGATAGGTATAAATTTGAATTGCATTTGCAGTGTTCTGAACTGTGAGGTTTTCTAATGAATTAGTACAGAGTTCCCCAACCTTTCTGACTTTATGGACCAGTGGGCAGGTGGGGGGTGGAGAGGATGGTTCTGTGGGAGAGGTGTGCAAGCACATGTGCACAAGTGGGAGATGTGTGCGCGCATACCTGCACTCTCCCGCCACTTCTATGGCCGGTTCCAAAAGGCTCAAGATCTGGTAGTGAGCCACGGCCTGGTGGTTGGGGACCCCTGAATTAGTATATAAAAAGGAAATCTACAATAGTTATCTTCCACATTTTTCTCTAATACAATAGTTTTGAGTGTGGCTTCATTTAGTATGCATAATTATTTCACATAAAATCCCTGAGAAACTCTATTCTTTCTTTGCATTTTTTGATGTTCTTTTGTAGCTCCTTTAATGTCCTTTGTTTCTCTGATGCAGTTTTATGTAATACAAAATATGTATGCTGAATTGCTCCAGAGACACTTTAGGAAAGGCAAAATACAGGCAAAATACTGGGCAGCCATCTTCCATTCACCTTCATCCACCTGCATCTCTCCAAAGAGATATTTAGAATTAAATAGAGACAGGAAGAGAGTGGAGATAAAAGAATCTGTTTCTGATATTTTTAAGCACTACTGAAAAAATACAGTATTAAAACTGAAAGATGTATCTAATTAATAATTATATATTTAACTAATATATATGTTATATAATATAAAAATATAAAATATTTCCATGGATAATAGAAATGCCAAATTAAGGGTTTGGAGAAAAATTCAGAATAGAATATAAATTTGATTTGATTTCCAGTTGAGGATTTATATAACAAGTGGTCTTTGATAAGAACATCAGAGTAATTAGAAGTACAGCGCTTGCTAATGTGAGAGTAATCCTTTGTAGGTCAAATGTGTACCTGGGACGATAACCTCATTGACAATGCTAGAGAAGTCTCTACCTCATGTTTGAACACGACTGAAAATCAGATTAGGGTTACTTGGGAAGATCTTGGCATTGGAAATAATGGATACCTCAACAAACAAGAGCTGGATGCTGTTTGTAAGAACATTGGACTCAAAGAGATGGAAAAAGAGGTTGGTTAAACTTGACTTTTGAAAATTCTCATCTCAGAAAGTCTACTTGATGACTGAATTTGAAAATGGTGGCTACATATGGAATATTCAGCATTTTGGCAAGGCCTCAAATGTACAAAGTATTCTCTGGCATTCTCTGCTTTAGCAATTGTAATTATTGCCTCCCAATAGTATATCAGTATTTTAAATAAATCTGAAGAAGCTTTATATCTGCTATACTTCCATGATGGCAAATCTATGGCACGTGTGCCACAGGTGGCACGCAGCACCCTCTCTTGGGCATGCGAGCTATTGCCCCAGTTCAGCTCCAGCGCTCATGGTGCGTGCCTCCCGCCAGCCAGCTGGTTGCTGGGTCTCTGTCGTGCATGCACAGGGGGTGTGGTGTGTGCAGTGGGCCCACGTGTGCATGCACAGAGGGGGCATGTGCAGGGGGCCATGTGTGCATGCATGGGGGCAGGGGGTAGGGGCAGGGGCAGGGGCGGGGTGCATGCAGGCGCCACACGTGCATGCGTGGGGGTGGGGCACATGCAGGGCCATGAGTGCATTGCATTTTGGGGGTTCGGGCACGCATGTGTTTTGGGCACTCTGTCCGGAAAAGGTTAGCCATCACTGCTATACTTATATCATGCCTCTTTTGTAAGCTGCTATTTCCCTCCTGTATTTTATTCTCGCAGCTTCCTTCTACAGTGGAAAGGCTGGAAGAAAGAGCAGTGGTTTATGATCATCCAGTCAATTCCATAGTCAAATGTGGATTGGAATCTAGATTACATTTGAGTGGGAAATTGATTCAAGGCCTTAGTCTGGATTGTCCCTATTTTAGCAGAAAGCTAGTTTGAGGTCATGGAATGGGGCTTTGGAGAAGGATGGCTTTTCCCTCTGAAAGTCTTACATCTTAGTCCTTCTTGCATGCAGGAGAGAATACCAGTGGTGGAATTCAATTTTTTTTACTACCGGTTCTGTGGGCGTGGCTTGGTAGGCGTGGTGTGGCTTGGTGGATGTGGGTTGGTGGGCGTGGGAGGGGAAGGATATTGCAAAATCTCCATTCCCTCCGCACTCCTGGGGAAAGGATATGGCAAAATCTCCATTCCCATCCCACTCCAGGGGAAGGATATTGCAAAATCTCCATTCCCACCCCACTCTGGGACCAGTCAGAGGTTCTCCGAACTACTAAAAATTTCTGCTACCGATTTTCCAGAACCTGTCAGAACCTGCTGAATTTCACCCCTGGAGAATTTCACCCCCTCTTTCTTCAGTTGAGGGAAGACAATGTCTTACTACCGGTTCCGTGGGCGTGGCTTGGTGGGTGTGGAATGGCTTGGTGGGCATGACATGGTTTGGTGGGTGTGGCAGGGGAAGGATACTGTAAAATCCCCATTTCCTCCCAATCAGCTGGGACTTGGGAGGCAGAGAATAGATGGGGGCGGGGCCAGTCAGAATTTTTCTACCGGTTCTCCGAACTACTCAAAATTTCCGCTACTGCTTCTCCAGAATTGGTCAGAACCTGTTGAAACCTACCTCTGTGTTTACCCCATATTAGGTTCTATCCAGGTTATGATTACCAGACTCTGTTGCATTAACTAAACCTTGTGGAATATTGATTTAGGTGCTGTTCAATTTCAAAATTAATTAAATTAAATTAAATTAAACAAATGCTTGTGATACAACACTTTAAAAACCTTATATTTTCTATAGGAATTTGAAGAATTATTTTACAAATTGGATAGTGATGGAGATGGCAGAGTAAGCTTAAAGGAATTCCAGCATGGCTTATTCAGCCACATCTGCCTTCCTTGTCCTTTTTCTTCCACACCACTTAAATCGAAAAGGCAAAGATCACACTCTAATCAGGTAATTATTCTGAGCAATATTTTCTTTATAAAATTATTGGTTCTAAAGGGAAAATATTTGAATGTTTAAAAGGCTTCCAGTTGTTGCATTTTCATACAGACTGGTGTTATGATTTTTATGACATAAGGGCTGAGACATAGCAGAAAACTTGTGTTTTGAATTGGTTGGATTCAAAGACAGTACTATGAAAGTATTTTAAATCACGGTCTGTGAAATAAACTGTAATAGCATGGTTCACGTATAACAGTAGATTATAATAGGTGGGTTTGCATAACTTGCTAAGCGATAATGATCTAGAACAGTCTTTCTCAATCCTGGCATATTTTTTCATACTTTCCGAAGTGTTATGCCTAGAGGCAGGCAGAGCTTGAAATTTTATTGCTAATAGAAGCATATACAGAAATAGGAATCAACCTGGAGAAAGGGGAAGTGGTATAAATTATACAGCATGACAGGGTCAGAGAAGACTTTGTGTTGGGTGCGATCCAATGTGTGTGGCTTGGGCCCAGCAGCCTGCAGGGAAAACTTTGGTCAATATAACAAAATTATTGGACTTTCTCTTACCATATTTTTCAGTGTATAAGATGCACTCCCCCCCCCAAAGGTGGTTGGAAATGTCTGTGCGTCTTATACACCTAATGTTGCCGAAGCCCCACCCACCTGCCGGCCCCCCTCTCTTTGGCCTCTGCCTCCCAGCAATTTGCCTCCTTGCAGCAAACAGCAAACAACCTGGTCAGCTTCAGCCCAGCCTGATTTAGTATGAGCAACTGATTGGCGGTTAGATCGGCCTCCCAGAATACCACCTAGCAGCTGTTCCAGGCTGCAGGGATCGCCACTGCCCATCGCCACCGTCACCACCCATCGCCGCTGCTGCCTATTGCTCCAATTTTGGCCTCTGCGCATCCCGTTTTTGGCCCATTCCAGGCTGCAGGGATCCCCACCGCCTATCCCTGCCACCTGGAATGGGCTGAAAATGGGGCGCACGGAGGCTGAAAAGGGGATGCACGGAGGCTGAAAGTGGGGTGCACCGAGGTGGTGATAGGCAGCAGCGTAATGGGCTGCAACGGTGGCAATGGGCGATGGTGATTCCTGCATCCTGCAACAGCTGATAAGTGGTATTCCAAGAGGCAGATCCAGCCACCAATCAGCTTCTCGTGCTAAATCAGGCTGTGCTGAAGCTGACCAGGCTGTTTGCTGTTTGCTGCAAGAAGGCAAATTGCTGGGAAGCAGAGGCAGATTTTTTTTTTCCCCTCCCCAAAAGCTAGGTACATTTTATAGTCTGGAGCATCTTATAGTCCGAAAAGTACTGTATTTTATCTAATAGATGGAGAAGCTGCTCTGTATGTCATTAAATGTATTATGGCTTATTTATTGATCTTCTCCACTTTAGTGGGCTCATTAGCCCTTTGTTCAAGTGTGTGGTTGAATACCTCCCACTGCTGCAGGAAATCTTAAACAACAAAATTTACAGTATATTTCCAGATTATGTGTTTTGCTTAAGAAAAAGCAGGTTTCCAAAGCTGATTTAAAAGGCGGGGAAAAAACATCAAACCACTCCCACACAGCATAACAATGCTTATTGAGTCCAAGTGGGTTTCTATAAATTAATTTTTTTAAATAAAAACTATTTCAAATTACGCTTGACACATGGTGATATTTCTGCAACTTTCTTGGCAATTATACAGAACTGCCATTAGTTTCCTTTAATATGTTTTTTCCCCAAGTTCCTAATCTCTCCAATGAACCTGGAATTCACTGGTTAACTCTCATCAAACAGTTAACAGGCACAGCCTGCTGAGTTCCCGATTCTGGACAAAGTCAACCAGATGTTGTAGCTAAATAATGAGTTTAGGATTTTCTGATGTAATTACACGTTGTTTTTAAATTCTTTCCTAACCGTTTGTTCCCCATTCATCTAAACTGACTTACTTACTTTTCCTCTCTCCACCATTTTATTCCTTCATCATGCAGATTTTGAAAGACAATGGTCAACAAACTGCAACTCCATCTCTTTTATCCAACTCAGTGGCTTTGAATCTTTTCTCCAGCATTAACGATGGCAGTGGTTTTGCAAGTGTGGAGCAAGTTGTCTCCATCTGGGCCTGGGAAGGGGTTGAAAACTGCAAAGAGATTTTTAAGGTATCTGTAGCTGTTCTTTGATGGTTTTCCTGGGCATTCTTAGCATGATGTTTTTCATAATAATGGATTTAATATATTGATAAGAAAAGTGGATGGAAATATGATTGGGACTGAGTGTATCTGCCATTGACTGGACTTGAAAACAAAGGAAGGACAAGCCACTCAGTCTGACCGATGAACCTGCACAGGTCCCTTGACTTTGCTTGTGGGAAGCAGGCAGGGAAGATCACAAACTATGATCTCATGACTGCAGGACATCCGGGCCAGTTGCAAAGTTCCCAAAACACAATCATATGAGCACAGTGGTGCTAGGATAGCCAGAACTATGAGGACTGGCCATAAATACTACTTGTTCAGCAATGTTGTAATTTGGATTGGTTACTGAACTAGTGGTAATTAACTGAGGACCATCTATATATGAATTAAGACAGAACCTTATACAAGATAAACTAGTATGAAAGTCATTTAATTTTGGTACCTTCAGAAATTCTAGGGAATTCAGGTAGTCCTCGACTTACAACCACAATTGAGGCCAAAATTTCTGTTGCTAAATCAGACAGCTGTTAAGTGAATTTTGCCCCATTTAACCACTTTTACCAGTTGTTAAGTGAATCATTGTTAGTAACATGGTTGTTAAGCGAATCTGGCTTCCCCATTGACTTTGCTTGTCAGAAATTCGCAAAAGGGGATCACATGATCTGGGAACACTGCAACCGGTGTAAATACTGGTATGTGTCAGTTGCCAAGCACCTGAATTTTGATCATGTGACCATCAGGATGCCGCAACGTTTGTAACTGAAAAATGGTCATAAGTCATTTTTTGCAGTGCCATTGTAACTTCGAATGGTCACTAAATGAACTATAGTAAGTCAAGGACTACCTGTAATCCCTTCTCTGCTCATGTTCATACAAGCTCATTTGTTTAACCCATTTGCCATCACTTTCCTATCATAATCATTATGATGTCTTTAATAGTCTTATATGCAAATCTGCAGTTTTTTCTGACATCACAGCTTTACCAGTTTGCACTTCCTGCTGTCCTTTACTCTTGTTTAATATCTTTCCTGCTCCTAAATAGTTCATCCATTCTGCCTTGAATTTTTAATCCAATCCCTTAACTAAATAGCCCAATGACTGTTACCCTTTAATATTTATTTAATGCCAACATTCTAATGCTATATTAATAATAGTTTAAAGGCCAGCTCTTAGGATTTAGTTTCTCTTGATTTTCAGACTTTGTCTTTTTATAGAGTCTTAATTATAATGTGGAGGAGCGAGTGAACCTTCTAGAGCTTTCTGTGATCCTTGATGATGAATTAATTGCTTCCAAGAATGGACTTCAACAGGCAGCTGTTGCCTCTTATAAGCATGAACTTCATCATCTACAGTAAGTAGTTTTTGCTTTGGCTTTTGAGACCAATGGTGTTATAGTATATGTGTAGAAATTTCAGAGTCATCATTGTAAACTGCCTGTTCATCTCATTGTTGTTTGCATCAAGACCACATCTGTATGCACAAATGCATAGTGCTGTTACATGAGATTGTTGTTTAGCTAAATAGTTTCACGTGTCACCAGTTGCAGAGAGATTATATATATTATATTTATACTTATATATTGTCTGCAGAGCTATGATACCTTAACAGGATCAACACAACTGGAATTTTGAGAGGTTGTAACACATTTTCTTTCATTTTAGAGCACAAGTGGAACGGATTTCCAGTGAGCGAAACAAAACAAGAGCTGAGCTGGAAAAGGCTAAAAAGAGGAATTGCCAGCTTTTTAAAGAAGTAGATGATAACCATAGTGCTCTGGAGCAACACAATGAGAGTAAACTTAGGTGATTATTGTCATTGGGAAAAATAATTATTACGCTATATAAACTTATACCAAATAAAAATACTAAAAGTTCTTATTATAGACAGCCACAATAAAAATAATGATTGCATGATTTTTCAGTTGGTTTGGTGGTATTTCTGTCAAGGCAGTCTTTCTTCCATACCTATCCCCTTTCTAAATAGTATTTGTGGTATCTTCTCTGAATTCTAATATTCATTGTCATTGTTATTTAATTTGAATTAAATTATATTTTATTCCTGTTAAAACTATTTCATAAAGTACTTAATTATTTATACAGTATGACGAAGTATAAATATAAATGGATAAATATTTTGTTTTTTTAAGATGTCTAATTCATAAAACTTATGGGGGAAATCACATAATGACAAATGGCAAAATAAATCAATGAAAGCAAGAGAATTTGATTTAACCATCCCAAAATGAAGTTCTTGTTTCAATAATTTTAAAAAGTATTGCCATTTTTTTAAAAAAAACTGATCTGATTTCTATAGGCATTTTTTCACTTGAACTGTTTCCAACCTATGGTGGGAAATGGAGGGTAAGCTATGGCTGATAAATAAAAGTATTAAAAATAATTTGTTTTATTTCAAAATGTGATAGGTTTTTTGCAAAATGTGTTTCAATTTAATAAATTCAATTTAATACTTAAATGAGATAATAAACCGGCTTACAATCTCAGCTGTGATGTTCCTACTTTACAGAGCTCTTGAGCGAGATTTCAAAGGAAAGCTAATGGCAATAAAGTCTGATGTCAAGATGGAACAGGAATTGCTCATGCAACAAATGCACCATCAGAGAACCAAGTTAGAAGCAGATTTCAGGTACCTTCAAGAGGAGGACTCTAGTTTAAGGAAAAAACTGACATTGATGATCAAGGTAAGGGCTTGGGCTGTGTCTTATGTTCAGAACAGCTAAGTCATAGTACTAAAATTGAAGATTCTTGACCATGTGTAAAATATCATATCCAAGAAGGTTAAATTCTAAGGCTTAGAAATTAAACAGTTTGAGTCTATGTCCATTTTCTTTCAAGGTGTACAATTAGGCCCACTGTTAATGAAGAGAAAAAATGAGTTAGATAAAACTAAACTATAGTTCTTTCCCTGTACAATGCAAATCTTCAATTTGTCACTTCTGAAATTTCACCAGCCAGTTATATGTAGGGTCAACAGCCCTGAGATAAAACGTTGTCAATCAACGTTTGTTCAGGAATGGCATTCTGCATCCATTACGGCTGCAGAATTGCAGCTTATGCAAAGTCTTGGAATATCTTCTTGGGATTGTGTCAGTTCTGAGTGTAGACGTGATGGGGGGAAAATGAATCATTTACTCAGTTTTTCATTGTAAAGGCTCTCTAATGGTGCAAAAGTACACATAGTCCGCACTTATTCAAAGTTACAATAGACTAAAAAAAAAGTTACTTATGATATGTCCTCATACAGCTGACACTCTTGGGTCACCTGATTGCATTTTGGGTGCCTGGCAATTGTCTCACATTTATGACCGGTTAGTGTCCCTGGCCATATAACTATGATTTCTAGCTGAAAACATTAAAAAACATCAATTTAATATGCTGGATTTGCTTAACAACCTCATGGTTCAACAACAGTGAACTGTTTTACAATATGGTCATAAAATCAAGTCAAGTCAACCACAACAACTTAATGATTCTGGGCCAAATTGGGATTATTAAGCAAGGATTACCTGTAGCAAGTCAAATACAGAGATATTGGTCTTGCTTTTCCTTAGTTCCAGTTCAGATATGGTAGATCATTGTTGCACAGAAGAGCATTCAAACATGCAATACTTTTTCTGCTTTGTGAACTAGTATGGTAAGTAGCCGCACAGCACTAATCAAAGTTCAGTTTTTGACAATATTGGTTTTGAACACAGTTTTTTCTACATACTATATTTAGTGTACTGCTGCTTTCTTGCTGAAGAGTTGCAAAATTTAGATTTTATCTTTCATTTTCTTCCATGTGAATGTATTTTTAAAGGAAAATAGTCGCTTACAGAATGAAGTTGCTGAAGTGGTTCAAAAACTGAGTGAATCTGAAAATCAAGTTTTGAAACTTCAAGGAGATCTTAATTTTATTTTGAAAGACAAGGTAATTTCATATTGGTGAAAAATGATCTTTTCTTCTTTCTGCAATCTAAGTCCATTTGACTAGTGTGAAAATCAAATGAGTAAGAGTCTTTTATGTGTAGTCTTGTGCCTATAGTATCTCCTACATAAATATTCAGTCTTTTTGTGATGAAGAATTTCATTTTTTTCCCAGTCCTTTTGGCTGAAAAAGGCTGCATTAAAAAAGGTCTAGGCCCTCTTAAAATGTTTTTTTAATAATTTCTTTTAAATAGTTATTCTGAATATGGCTACATATTATTTACATAAAGCAATCACTAACTTTTCATGTAAGCATTGGTGTAAAATGTCTGCAAGCACAATAAAAAGACAAAAATATTTAAAAAGCCCCTCTGGCATAACTATTTCTGTACAAGTTTGATCTGCTCATGATGACAACTCAACAGAAGCTCTGCTGTACCTTTGGTACATTAGATTTGATTTTACTCTACACTGCCCAGAGTTGTTTTGTAGATTTGGACAGTATTATAAATGAAATAAATTAAAAATAAGATGTAACCCAAAGTGTTTTTAGAGATAACTTCAAAGGCTTTCTTTCCAATTTTGGAACAATATATTAAATTATTTTTTAAAAAAAACAATCTTATTTGCTTCAGCTGGGATTACTGGATCCATACAGTACGGAACTATTTGATCAAGAAGCACGCTTTGCTGAAATCATTCAGGAGTATGAGCTGCAATGTCGGGTAGGTGGTTTATTTTTAACCTTATAAATACGCACAATAGAAAGCTAGAAACGAGGTGAGCAGGAAGGAAATTGTCCCTATTTCACAATTTTGTCCCTCTTCCCTTTACTAACTACTGTTTGGAACCTTTTTACTAATCATTTACTATTGAATTAACAAATCTCATGTACAATAATATAAAACATAATGGTCCTGCCTATTGAGATAGTCCATCTGAATCATGATAACCAGATGCCTAGTTGCTTGATATATATCTGGGAACATTCTATTACTGTTATTTTCATTCCTCTGCTTTTTGTTGGAAAATCATAACGATCCCTTGGTAGGTGGCAGGCTAATGGAGACTTCTAAAAAAAGATCCCTCGTGTGTATTATTTCATGCATTCCACCATCCACTCAATTCCCTTCCCTTTTTTTGTTTCCACATACATTCAATTTGGTGCTGCCTATCTAATCAGAGGGTGAAGGTGAGCGTTGCATTTCCAAGTGTGCTCATTTCCTATATCTGTAATGAATATTTCTTTTAATCTACCTGTTATGATAACCTTGAAAACGTGGCTATTTTTATTTCAATAGTTCTGTATAACATAAGTACCTCATGATATACACAACTATTGAATACTCTTTACATTGAATCTAGTCAGCTTAATGTTCAGAAACTCCAACTATGTGTCCCTTGCTATCTAAGGAAATAACCAGTTATTTTTGTCAGCATTTCTAGCAAGCTCAGACTCTTCTGACAATTGATTGGGTTTGATGTTTGAATATGTGTTTCAGTTCAACAGCTGTAATACTAATGTTAGTACTTGCCAAAATGGAAACAAATGTTTATTTTGCAAAGAAAAAAAGAAAAAGAAATCTAAAGATATTGTGCATGGAATTCTCAGTTTCTTAAGAACTTCTTTTGTAAATGGAATTGCTATATCTGATCTTGCATGTTTGATCTGTCCAACATCTGTTGTTAGTAATGTTCATACATTACTTCTAAAGAAATATGATTATCCAGGATTGTTGCACAATTGGGATAGTACTACATCCCATAAGATTGCATGTTAAATAAAAGGGAAGCCCAGTGTTTTTTCTTGCATGGATGTGCAAACTTTTAGTAGAATTATTATATAAAATGGGCTTTTGAATTTAGAAGACAATTCTTTGGACCCAATTCAATATTTTCATTGCACAAATAATCTTTGTTTTTTGTGTAGGGAAATGCTTTTCTACATACAGAATAGAATCTTTAAAAGTTAGCAAATGTGCTTTGAACTGTAGCTATTAGTAGAATCCTAAGCTTTGTGTGCTTTGGTATCAGGCCCAAAGATCAAGGAACTCATGCAGAGTTACTTTTAAGTAGTTTCCTTTATTGTTCCTCACCTATAGTCAGAAATCTTTCCAAACTAAAGCAAACTACTTAAAGGTATACTCTGAGAACCTCTAGAGGGGAGCTAACTTGGCTGTCTCTTGTTCCTCTGGAATGCAGCCCCTCCCATCTGGGAATTCAGACTACATTCCACTATATCTGGTCAGTATATTAGTTCTCAAAGGGAAATGCTTATTTATTTCAATGGGACTCTTGGATCTTGGCCTCTGTGTGGATGTTAAAGGTTAGAATGGTCAGAAGTTTGCATGTATTCCTGCCCCATATTCATATACATAATTATATACAAAGTACACAGTATTGCAAAAAGCAAGCACAACATTTAATAAGTAAAAATAATGTTCATGTACACATTAAAAAGAACCACTGGAAAATGACAGGTTTTTTTAAAAGGCTGCTTTGAGATGCTTTACATTTTTGTCAGCCCTGTTGGAGCTTGTTCTTATTCCTCAAGAGACTGAGCAAGGATTGGTGTTTGTAGCACAGAAAAACTGGCCATCAGCAAAGCTCCAATTTAGCTCCAATTTCAACCTCTATCTTGTGTCTTGCAGGTCTTCTTCAGATTTGTTCTCAGATTCATTTTAAAGAATATTTTAAAGCTGGCTCAATAAACCAGGCGTCTCCAAGATTAGATTAAAAAATAAGCGAGGATACAGATTGCAGAACTATAGCCTAAAACACAGATTCTGACTAAATTGACTTAATGTGTAATAGTAAATAAGAAAGACATTGGAGTGGGGATAACAATAATTCACTCATAGTAGTGGACGCTTCCTTTTTGACAGGGTAAAGAAAACATCCCTTATATATTTACAATAAACTGAACTAGAATTTTGTTTGGTTATCACAGATTTAACTTACTCTATACTGTGTCAGGAATGGGCTCCTTGTGGCTCTGGAGGTCTTTTTTTTTTTTTTTTGCTTTGCAGCCCTCAGTTCCCCTCTTGAACATGATTGCCAAAAATGATGGTACTATTAGACTCACTAAAATTGTAGCGTGTGTCCTAAAATAAACATAGTTTTTATTCCCCCAACCCTGAAAGGAAAAAAGAAAATTCTCTGCCGGTCAACCTAACTTGTTAAAATTCAGCCCACAGAAAAAAAGGGAGAAGCAAGGCTTCATGTTATGTTGTATCAATGAGTTTACAGCTTGATTCACCCCTTTTGATATATTTACCTTTGATTCAAGCAGTGTTGCTACTGTTTTCCTCATGTTAAAGTATATTACAGGGAGTTGAATATATGTTGTTTTCACTATCTTCTACCTTGTTTTGTTGGATTCAATGAAATTGTGATACAGTATCAACATGTCTACAGTCTTGAAAGGATTCAGTCACCCTATCTGAAGACTGCAACTGATGATGGTTCAAACCATTGAAAATTTGCTTAAACTAATATTTCCCATCATTAAACCACTTGTATTTAAAAGAACTTAGATCATGCTTGTCCAATCTTTTGGCTTGCCTGAAGAGGAGTTGAGTGAAGAGGAGTTGTCTTAGGATGCATATAAAATATATAATAGACTTAATGTATAGAAATAATAAACTTCCTTTATTTTTTATTATCTTGTGGAACTGCATTACTAGCTGTCCAGGGCCACATGTAACCCTTGGGCTGTGGGTTGAACACACCTGACTTAGATGAAACATATGGCTACTTGTTTTGTGGTTGCTGAATTTCTCTCTTCTTTGTGGAGGTTTTTAAGTACAATTCTGGAGTTAACAATTCTAGTGTTATCCCATTTGAATAAGAATGATTTGTAAGCAAATATGGATAAGTCCTGAAGTTGCAATTCATCTCACCACATACATCTAAGATCAGCTGCTCTGTGTGTTTCACTGTAGTTTTCTGGCTACTTATAGGAACTGCATGACAAGAATGATGAGCTACAGATGGAGGTGGAAAAACTGAGATCCCTGTTGTATACAAGCAAGCCTAACCTAGCATGCTGCAAAATGAAGACCAACAACACTGGAGAAAGGCCCTTGCCTGGAAATGAAAAAGCTAGCATTATAGGTGGGTAATACAAGTCAGGCATGGTTCTTCAGAACAGCTTTCTGCATCCTGCTGAAATCTGGATGTATTGCATGCCTGCTCCCAGAATTGCCCACATAGAGGAATTCTAGAAGATGATTCAACAACACATCTGGACTTCACCAGGATGGGAAAAAGTCTTCATGCAAGAAGATATTCAGGGCCTTTCAGCATGGTGAGAGGGGCTTTAATGTTTTCTATTCTATGACAGTTTTTCCCCACTTCAAGTTAGGGAAAGCAGCTGAGCGCAGACACTGCTGTGTTACTGCTGTTGCTTAATTCTGGGCGTCCTGCTGCTACAATTCAGTGCTAAAGCAAAAGCTGCATTTATTTTACTATTTATTGCATCCAATCTTGATTTGCTCTACAGCTAGAAGATGAAGGCTACAAGTTCTCTTTTAATATTACAGCAGTTTTAAACTACATTAAATCATTGAATATGTTTCTTTTAAGACAACGTTGAAAAGGACGATCACTTTCTTGGATATCAGCACTTACCAACCACAGGCCAAAATGTAAAGGGATTAATAATATATATTGTCTAAACGGGTGGGTTCTACTTACCTTTACTGGTTCGCAATGGGGCTGTGTGCGCGCGCGCAAAGCGAGTGCACATGCTCTTCTGTGCAAGCACAGAAGCTTCTGCGCATGCGCAGAAGCATTCTGATGACATCAGGGTCAGTGGGTGGAGCCTCCCGCCAGTTTTACTACCGGTTCTATAGAACCGGTACGAACCGGGGGCAACCCACCACTGGTCTAAAACCTCCAAAGCACCATAGAATTTAAATAATCCTAATCTAATCCAATCCATTCCTTTATAAGTAAGATACCAGTATCAAAAGTATAATTCATTTTTTTTCTTGATTCTTCCAATCTGAGACCCTATGTTATTTCCAAACAACTTTTTTTAGGGATGTGGTTATTTTTCTCCTAAATGTTTTGTTTTGTAATATAACTTCCATGATTTAACCCACTACTCTTGTAGCTAGGCGGAGATTAATCAGTAATAGTTTTCTTGCCTCCATGTTTTTTAATAAATTTACTTACAGATGACACTTTCATAACATCTGATCCCTGTTCAGTAAGTATAGAAACAGAACTTCTGGTGGAAGACTTAAAAGAACAGAATCAAACTATAAAAACACAGCTAGAAACTAAGGTAAGTAGAAAGACTCAATATTTAGTATCCAATCTACAAGTACAGAACTTATAATCAACAGAACTCAACTTTTTTTTGCATGTAATAACTCCACAGAGTAGTTTCAATAGAGGCACTGTTGAGTTATCTACAGTCTTCTAAGTTTTGTTGGTAGAATGGCAATCATCATTTCTCCAATCTAAGTAAAGATTTATATATATAAACTCATTTAAGCTAATTATTCAGTTTAGCATTTTTAAATCACATTAATAAATGCAGTATTATAGAAGCCATGCTCTAAAAAGACTTCTGAGTGTAATTTTATAACGGAGAGCAAGCTTGGTCTAAAGTTGATAACACATTTTAAATTAATTCTTGCAAACCATGCAAACTCCAGAAGAACAAGATACTTTTTTTTTAAAGATAGTTTTGTATATAAATTCCATGTACTGGAAATGTCAAATTTCTTGGGTGAGGAAATCATTTAAATTTTAAATAAATATTTTGAAATGGTTTCTGATTTTAAAAAAAATTACTGTTCTAGGTCAATTACTATGAACGGGAAATAGAACTAATAAAAAATAATTTTGAGAAGGAAAGGAAGGATATTGAGCAAAGTTTCAAGATCAAGATTAGTGAATTGGAAGAACAAAAGAATGCCCTGGAAGAACTGAATGAGAAATGCCAGGAAGTGATTGATGGTTTGAAAAGCCAGGATCAGAAGCTAGATCCTATCCAAGAAATGAAGAGATTTGAAAAGGAGAGGGCGGAAATGGAGCAGTGCTATGCTAAAGAACTATCAAACTTAGGTCAGAGGCTGGCCCAGGAAAGGGAAAGATTGGAAGATGACTTGAAGATGAAGCATGAAATGGAGATACATTTTATGAGGTTTGGAAGTCTTATATTCTTAGGATTCTAAATATGGGTACTTACCAGTACCAATAGTAATTCTATATGCGTAAGTAGGAAAAATTCTACTAATAGATGTTAATAGATGAAGTTGAATCTTTAAAAGGCAGTAAAAGGTAAAAACTGCTTTAATTCAAGGATAATTTCTGGTGTCTTTGATGCAGTTTCCTTGGCGATAATAAAGAAGTAATTAGTTACTGGTTTCTTTTAGAATGTTTTTCAGTTTCCCAGCCTACCTATAGCCCTGACATTTCTTGATACCCTCCTTGGTTGCATAACCTGACATAACCCTGCTTGGCTTCAAAGCCTAGCCAAGATCAAACAGGTGCTACCATTTGCTGATACATCTTAGGAAGAGAGCAATAAAAAACCATAGCAACATCTTTCTTTAGTAATAAGACAACTTTGTATACGATGTATAGACACTTTTCTTTTCATCGTATATCAAAATGATGGGGTTATTTTTGTGAAATGTGATCATCTGAACTAGGAAGCTGTTAGTTGGTATTTGAGTTATTCTTTATATGCAACCTAATTAGCTTGAATATTTTCAAAAATAACAAAAACCAGTTCACAGTAATTATCTTTTATTTGTTTATGTGCATTTCTGTGCTGCCTTTTTTAGGTGGTTCCAGATGATGCATATAGTGACTACCTTGGCTTATAATTAACTCTATAAAGCACTTAGCGTTTTTTAAGACTGCCAATTGAAGTGTCCCTTTCTCATTGGGAACTGCCTTAGTATCTGCCAGAACTATTCAGTCAGGTTGGCTGAGAATTCTGGGAATTATGTTACCAGTTCTGCACCCTATCAGCTAAGGGAGGTTCATTTGAACAAACAAGTCTGGGTGTTTACTTTGGCCTTCCTTATTTCACATGATTAAATTCATTATTTTCAGTTTCTAGAATTATGGAAAAATGGATATATGTGTCAGGTCCTGATGCTTTTGACAAACCAAGTAGGAGTGAACTGAGGTGTCCATAATCATTAAGACAAAACTGAGATGGTTAAAGATTGTACAATTCCCTGAGATTGGATAGTTTCTACAAATAGTCTTGGAGAAACCGTATTCTCTCGAAGTCTAAAGGAGAGAGATCCACAATTGTTTATTGCTTTATATATTATTGCTTAAAAGAATGGTGAATATATGTAGCTCAGGATTGGATCTTTGGTGTTTTCTAAGCATGGTTGTTATCAGAACAGGTGATATTAGTGCATGAGAAAGTGAGTTTGTTGGTAGTGAATTCCAGAATTTAATTACACATTGTGGGGGGGAAATCCTTTTGTCCAACAATCAGGAAGAAATAATACCCTACTTAAGGAACCACTAAGGCAGTGGTTCTCAACCTTCCTAATGCCGCGACCCTTTAATACAGTTCCTCATGTTGTGGTGACCCCCAACCATAAAATTATTCCTAAAACCATTGAAAATATGTGTTTTCTGATGGTCTTAGGCGACCCCTGTGAAAGGGTTGTTCGACCCCCAAAGGGGTCGCGACCCACAGGTTGAGAACCACTGCACTAAGGGAAAAAAAAACAGCCCAAACAAGACTGGCAAATCAAGTTACTTATGTAAAGAATAAGCAAACTTTGCTTTCTCTTGCACTGGTGATAGCCTGATAAAGAAACTTCTACAGAAAAAAGTCCAGGTCAGAAAATATTCAAGATTCCAGTAATTTTTCTTTATTTGGATGAATTGGAATATATCTAAATTGCCATGTTAGGGAACGCTACTTTGGGGATACATAGCAAGGACAAGAGATTTTGCTTATTGATACTGTTTTAACACAGTGCTTGTTAATGCGTGTGGCATTTTTAGCATTTAACCTTTAAGATAACATCTCATTATCATAATTGATTTGGCAATGTACTTTATTGCAAAAGGTGTAGCTAACAATAGTGTTATCCAAAAATATTTTATTTAAAACAATTGTGATTTAGTAAGATTACTCTTACCCGTAATTCCAAGGAAGAAATTAGAACTTTCTATCTGGTAGATTTTTAGCTACTTGAAATTTTTTTCTATTTGCATGATCCATTTATTTAAAGTCCATTTCCCAACAAAAATGGTGCTTAACTCACCACGAGAGTTTCTTATACATCCTGAACTAATTCAACTTCATTTTTTTTCCTTTTTGTTATGCAGAGTGGAACTGCACAGGATTTCAGAAGACAATATCCTCTTAAAAAATAAACTTGGAAAATGTCAGCGAGAAATAAAGGAGATTGATGACACAAACCAAAAGCACAGGTAGTTATTTTTCTTTTCATTTGTATATTAAAGTTTGCACATGAAATGCCTTAACTTAGGAGGAGAAACATGCAAGGGGGAGAGAAATTAAAATTTGATAAATGCTATGGTCTCTGGGGTCACAAAGAGACACACACAGTTTAGCTACTAAATCATAACACAAAGAAATGCCATTTGGCTATGCTAGCCTTTCCTAATCTGGTTCAGTTCCTAGGTTTTAGATTTGGACCCCAGGAAACAACCTCAGAAAATACTTTGTTTCTTAGTATGCTAATGCTGTGAAATACACCATATTTGTCGGAGTATAAGATGTACTTTCCCCTTCAAAAAAGTGGGTGGAAAAGTCTGTGCACCGTATACAGCAAATACTGCAGTGTGGGGGAGAGGGGTTGATGCGGCACCGATCAGCTGTTCTAGAACGAGCCACGGTGGCGACGGTGAATGGGCCGCAGCGGTAGCAAATGGGCAGTGGCAAATGGGCGGTGGTGGCAAATGGACGCCAGCTAACGGGTGGCAGCGAATGGGCCGCGACGGTGGTGAACAGGCGGAAGCAAATGGGTGGTGTTGAATGGGCTGTGGCAAATGGGTCACTGATGAATACCAGATGGATGCTGGGAGGTAGAGACAGATTTTTTTTTTCTTGTTTTCCTCCCCAAAAGCTAGGTGCATTTTATACTCCGGAGTGTCTTATAGTCCAAAAAATACGGTACTTTATGTATAATATTATTTTGCAAATAGGGGATGCTCAGTTAACACTGGAAAAATAGAAATCTGAATTGTATAGCAATTGTTAGCCTAGGTTTTATGAAAGCACAGGCTTTCAACATACAACTTGAAGATTGACTCAGGAGAGCAAGGTGGGTAGAGCAAATGTTTATCTTTAATCTCCTTTTCCATGAATATTCGTCTTATAGAAGCACCCATTCTTAGATAGAAATCTTAGCCAAAGGGGTACTTGAGGATACTGCCAGCTCCCTCAAAATTAGACATGGTTCAGTTATACCTATCTTAAGCCAGTTCACTGTTATAAACAAGAATTATAGAGCTACAGTAGATCCGTGAAAGACCATTAGAATTTCTAGAGTGATTCCAAATCTCATTATAATATTGATGCACAAAGTATGTTTCAGTTAATTATTTTTTTTCCAGAAAGCACATTGATGAATCGAAAATGGAAAGAGAGAAGATGATGTATGAAATAAAAGAATTAAATGACTCGGTAAGTGGTTAGAGTACCACTTGATCTGCCTTCTCACAGAACCTGAATTTGAAACAGTGCAGTACTAGAAAGCTCACAACAGAGCCAAGAAGTTATAAATTTCAGTTAAAAACAGGTAGAGGGGGCAGGGAGACATTTTAGAAGGACAAAACCATGTTTGCATGATTTATCTATGGCACTTTTTTTTTTAAAAAAAGGATTCAGTAGTAAATGATAAAAAAGAGATGCACCTGAAATCATAAAGAATTTCTGCCAGTTATTGAAATATGGAAATTGGCTAATGTCCTCAAATGGTAGTCTTACTAATTGTCCAGGAATTTAAACAGAAACTTTTCCCAGTCATATCTGGACATTATCAGGGATTGAACCAGGGATCTTTTACATGCAGTATACAGTATATGGGTCTTCCCAAGGGTTGATGGCTCTGGACTTTATGAAAAAAATAACTTGTGTGCATATAAGGTTGATTGCTGAGTTCCTAGATAAATTTCAGCAGTTATTTTTTCCTGCATCTGCATAAGTCAGGTGATAATTATCCAGACACAAACAAATCTAAAAAGAATTGGGCAACTTTAGAGAATGGTTAGATAATCTGAGTATCAGTATTTCTAATCTTATCCCTGTAACCAATGCTACCAAGGTTCAGTTGAGAAATATTGGCTGAATTTGCACATTGTATTAAGCCATAAGGTATTTGAGGTTGTATTGACAGTTTAGTTTATTGAACAACCCATGGTTAAACAATCAATGGATTCATACACTATATGAATACAGTCAACGTGTTGCCCAGTAAAGCTATCTGATGAACTCTGATAGAATTTCTAGTGCTAAAATGATCACTGTGTACTTTCAGAAGTTAATTGTTAAAAATAATCACATCTAAACTCACAAGAGCTTTTGAGAATTAAGAATTGTAGATTTTTCTTTAATACCTTTTATATAGGTTTACATTAACTGCCCAAAAATTCAGTTAATGTATTTTTTTAAAAAAAGCAATCAGTCCTTTAGTTGTAAGAGAATTTTCCTCTTTCCTCCTTCCTTTCTCTGAGAAATCTCTGTAGCAATATGACACATTTGGTTTAAGACAACCCCTATTTATCTAGAACTTGAATCTAGGAAATCCCTGCCTTATCCTTTGGATAATTTATAATCTTATTTTGTGCATGCACAAACGTGATTATGATGAATGTGATGACATTGAATGCCTGAAATCTTGTTTCAGAACAAATACTACAAAGAGGAAATCTTACAGCTGAACACCAGAACTGCTCAGTTAAGCCATGAATACATTGAATTAAGCAGCAAGAATAAAGCCAGTCAGAAAACAATTAAGATACTGAATCAGAGGTTTCTTGAATTGGAGAGCCAAAAAGAACAAGAAGCTATGGTAGCCAAGCAACTTCGGGAGGCCTCTGCTGAGATGAAAAAGGAGCATTTTCAGCAGCAGTTGACATGGCAGGGTGAAAAGGACTTGCTAGTTCAAGAGCTGAAATCACTGAAGGAAAAGGTAAGGCTGATCTAGGAGAGAGATCAGCTGTAAGTAAGTGTGATGCACATAACATAATGTATTACAGTGATGGGCAATCTGTGGCCTCATGGCTGCAGACAAAGCTTCAGTCTTCCTTTTGCAGCTATTTTAGTTCCCCTGGTTATGATTTCTTAAAACTGATTGCATAGATACTATTTTTCAGTGGAGGGCAGATGAAAACTAGTGTAAACTCTACAATAGCCACATCATAGCTGAGAAACAGTTAATTTCCCAAATTCCCATCTCTGTGTGATATGGCCCTATCTACTTTGCCCCAAGTGTTAAATGTCACCTGTGGCATCAAATAACTGCTTGCCTCTGCTTTAGTATTTCATGTATAAAAATCTGTGTTGTGTTAGCCAAACCAAGGCAGCATTTAGATAACATATATGTTATGGGGATCCTGAATTAAGTCTATTTAGTCTATTTTGACTTTTAGCCTTGCTCTTTGACATGGTGTACAATTATGATATTTTAGTTAATTGAGGTACATTTGCTGCCAAAGATAAAATAAATATTACTATTCTTCAACTTAAAACTGGTTGAAGTTTCACCAGCAACAAATGTATGGTGATCACAACCGGTCCTTGGATTTCTGGCTACCCAAGCACCCTTGTAGTCACATGATTGTAATATGGGTATTTGGGAAATCTGTTCACACGTATGACTGGTTGCCAAGTGCCCTTGCATCCCTGTGCACTCATCCTGACCTGTGCAGTGCCTCTCATGGATGCCAGCACACACCCCTCGATCTATGTGAAGCCTCTGGCACACCCTAACTTGTGCACATCATCTCATGCTCTCATGCAGTCCTGCATACCTTCCTTGACTTGGGTGGCATCCTTGCACACACCTCGTATCCAATGCAGAGGTTCTCCCACCTGCTCACCTACCCTCCGCCATCATGCCTCCCACACATCATCTCTGACCTTCCCCCAAACACACACTGATCCCCTTGTCTCCCCCCCCCAACAGCAGCCAGTTACCTGCCTTGATCCTTCCAACTTCCTCCTGGCTTCCCCACAGGTTGTGGAAAGTCGGTAGGAAGTTACCTTGCCTAACAACTGTGGGATTCAGTTAACAATAGCAACTGGGATTGATAGGATTGCTGTTGCTAAGTAATGTAGTGGTGCTTTACAATTGCATCACTTAGTGTCAGAAATTCCAGTACTAATGCTTATTGTAAATTGAGGACTACCTGTCCACTAAAAGAATACTGTAAATAACGTTAGGCAATATGCCTGATTAAAATACAAATCTTAGAATCCAAATTTGGGGGTAGCAATATTCCATGTATTGAACTGTAATCTAGAAATTATTTCCAAATAAGAATAAATTATACATCAAATTTAATTTTAGATAGAAAGTTAATTTTAAAAATTAGCATTTATTTTACATTTTGAGTGAATTGACTGTTAGAATGAATTTTGCCATGCAAGCATCTTGACAGATTGCTAGGTTTTTCTTCTGCAGTATTGCTAATGTTAGCGTACTACTGTGTCTTTTTCTCTTGCAATGTAGCTGTTGGAAACTAACACCAGATTAAGCCAAGCCGAGTCTCAGCACACACAAGAGCTGCAAAAACTGAAGACCCAGATGGACAATACAGTACCTAAGGACCATCTTGTTGAGCTTCAAACCAGATTGACAGAAGAACAGAAAACAATCAGAAAATTGCAAGGAGATCTAGACTTACAGGCAGAACAAATGAAATGGCAACTGGCTATTTATCAAGTAAGAAGAATGTTTATTTTAGTCTTCCTTTAGGTTCCTACCAAGAATGCAGTTGCTGGTATGATGAATAGAAATAAACTGCTTAACTTGTTTTATCATGGTTTGTTAAATAAGTCATAGTGGGCCTTTTAACACATCTCTAAGGCTTAAATCAAAAGTTGCAACTACAGTGACTGGATTCATACAACACACTAAGTTAAAACTAAATCTGAAGCAATGTGTCCCAAAGGTGCTTTTTTTCAAGAAGCAACTGGATTTTCTTGTTTTTCTTTGAAGTTGTTTAACTTCTCATATAGATCAATATTTACATTTTGATTCTCATCACCCAGTGGAGCACAAAATGGTAGTTATCTACACACCACCGAGCTGAAGGCCTGCCTACCAGAAAAGATGGGAAAGAAAAAGAACTAAAACACATCAAGGAAGCCCTCAGAATGTGTGGCTATCCCAAGTGGGCCTTCATCAAATCACAAAAAAGACCAGCAGTAGCTCCTCCATAACAGACAAAGAAGAGAACAATAAACAAAGCAATGTTGTTATTCCATGTTGCAGGAATATTTGAAAAGCTCAGGAGGACCTTTAGCCAACACAACATATGTGCACACTTTAAACCCAAGAATACACTAAAGCAGAAGATTGTCCATCCCAAGAATAAAACACCCAGACACAAACTGAGCAATGTGATATACGCAATACAGTGCAGTGAGACATGTGCAGATCTGTACATTGGGGAAACAAAACAAATACTTCATAAAGTCATGGCACAACATAGGAGAACAAACCCATCAGGACAAGATTCAGCAGTCATTTGCATTTAAAAGACAAAGGCCACTCGGCAAAGTCCACATTTTGGACAGAGAGGACCACTGGTTTGAAAGGGGAGGGGGGTCAAAGAGGTCATCTATGTCAAAATTGAATAGCCCCGTCTTAAAACGAGGGGGAGAGATACATCATCTATCTCCACCAGTCCTTTCAGCAGTTCCAAGAAGGCTTCACACCCATTTACACTACTCAGGTGAACCTGAGGATACAGATAAACTCCAAGTGTCCTCAACGACTCTCTAAAAAGAATGCAAATGATCAGCTGTCTGTAAGGAATATAAATCCTTCCATTCCCAACCATCCAGTCAGAGCTGAAGAAGCTTTTTGGATGTTTTCAAAGAAAAACAAGGAAGTCTAGTTGCTTCTTGAAAAAAGGGACATTTTGGGACAATGACTGGATGACTGAGAATCTCCATAGACACAGAAGCAATGTGGTTTCTCTCATCCCGAGAGAAGCCTCAGGCTGGTACATTCTCCTTTCCCTCTCCTCAGGAGAAAAATCTACAAATCAATCTCAGTAGCTGCTTCTTTACTGTGGTTTTAAATTGTGGTTTAATGTGCTAGGGCTAGGCAATTGCTTAATAGTAAAGAGCAAAAAAAAAACCTGTAATGAAAACAGATTGTAGGTAACTAAAGCTTGGTTATACAAGGAAACTCAGAGAATAACTTATGTTGTAGTTAATATTTCCTATCAAAAATGATTCATAAATATTTATAGTGCAATATAGTGCAGAGAGATTTGTGACTACCTTCACTACTGAATTTACAAGTATGCTGAATAGTTTAGGCTGTTTCTTCTGAAATATATAAAGAAACTTGTAGCAACTTTGCAATCAACAATTGTTCTTGGGCCATTCCTTTAACTTTCACTTATGGTTAAATTGTATTGGGCTATACAATAAACACTGCTCAGAATTTATGCTCTTCTTTCTGCAGGAAGAATATGAAAACGCACATAGATTAATGGAGGAGAAGTTGGGGGAAGTAGAGATGAATTTGAAGAATACACAAATGTTGCTGCAGGAAAAAATGTCCCAAATTAAGGAACAAGTGAGTGCAAGGGTGGATTTGTTGCTTTCTGTGAATGGAGCAGTAATAGAAATGGAACTATCATTGTCTATTGCTTGCAGTTTTAAAACAGACAGCTATACAAACAAAAGTATTCTGGAATGTGTTACAATATATACATTAAATTATCCTAAAGTATTTGTCTTCCCTCAATCAACAGAACACATTTGAATATTGTGCAAGCAGATTTCTAACCATTCACTCTATATACTCATGTGCACAAGTTCCAAATTAAAGAACAGAGGGTGAAGAATTTATTTCATTATGTATTCAAACATTATTACTTCCTTTTAATATATTTCAGCTTTTTGTTTGTACTGCCTGTCATTTTCTGAGCAATACAGGTAGTTTTTGAGTTACAACTGAGCCCAAAGTTTATGTTGCTGAAACATTCCTTAAGTGAGTTTGCCCCATTTTATGACTTTTCTTGCCAGTGAATAATTGCATTTGTGAAGTTAGTCACATGGTTAAGTGAATCTGGATTCCCCATTGACTTTGGCTGTCAGGTTGCAAAAGGGGATCACATGACCCGAGGACACTGCAAATGTCATAAATATGAATCTGCTACTAAGTGTCTGAATTTTGATCATGTGACCATGGGGATGTTGCAACAGTTGTAAGTGTAAAAAATGGTTAAGTTCCTTTTTTCAGTGTCATTATAACTTTGAACGGTCACTAACTGACCTGTTGTAAGTCAAGGACTACCTGTATTTTTCAGAAATTGCCATTGTCTTTTTCCTAGGCTTAAGAGAATGATTGGCCCAAATTCAACCAGCTGGCTTTGGGCCTAAAGCAGTAATAAAACTACTGCCCTTCCGTTTTCCAGCCCATGCCTCTAAACACTTCACCAAACTGGCTCTCATAACTGAATTAGGTTGCTATATATTATTCTCAACATTTCATCTGAAGTAGTACTATTTTAATAAGCTGAGAAATAAAAGTGTCTCTTTTTCAGAATTTGTGGGGGCATAGAGTAATTTCTTTGGGTTACTTTACATGGAGTCTCTTCAGAATGAATCATTCTGGCAATGAAGTTAAAGAGGTCTTTTTAATTCTTTAAATAAATATTAAACCCATTATAATCGGCTGTTTTGTTATGGGTGTGTCTGAATAATATTTAATGGAATGTTCCTTCCCTTTTCAGTTTGAAAAAAATGCCAAGTCTAATCTATTGCTGAAGGACTTGTATGTGAAGAATGCACATCTGATGAAAATGCTGCAAGTTACAGAGCAGATGCAGAAGAACACGGAAAATAGGAACTTAATTCTAGAAGAAAAAATTTCATCCCTGAATCAGCTAGTTGGAGAAATCACATTTGCATCTCAATGAATTATTCATTCAAATGAATAGGTTTCCATTAAGCTGTCTTAAATGGCAATCAGTAGTAAAGATATTAATTGATCAAGTTTGTTCTACATATTTCAGACTGAATACAAAAACTCTTATTCTCACAAACAGAACTCTATATGAGATAGCCACTACTTCAGAGTGGGGAAAATACAAATGCTATCTAAAAAATAGGAGAACAATAAGCAAATACATTCTGAAGATGGGGAAACACAGGATCAACTCTACAGCAATAAAAATACATTTTTTTCCAATGGAAAAGTTTAATCATTTAGTGCCTTCTGGATAAATTTCACAGAAACAGGATGTTCTACACTGTATCATTTGGGGACTGGACATTTATTGCGATTTCAACTTCTTGTCCCCCTGTCTGTCTATACACTGGCTAAAGAGTGGATGAATGTGTGTGTGTACATAAACAGAGTTTTATGCAAGTGTAAAATATTACTCATTGAATTATGTGCTATATTATTTAAGCAGAACTGTAAACAATCCAATGAACTCCCCCCCTCTTTTTTTTTTTTTTTTTTTTTTGCTTTACGTATCTGGAACATTTTAATTAAATAGCATCTTTACAGTTTGTTCTCACTTGAGGGTTTTTAATTGTATAAATGACTTTGCGAAGCAGACATATGTTCTTTTTGCTAGGATGGCAAAATATACTCATATTCCTCCTCTGACTTTAATGGCCACAGCAAATACTGTGTGTTGTGATGTCAATGAACTCTTCATATCTTTAAAAGGAATTTGCTACATTCCTGCTATTAGCACGAAAACATGATTTCACCTGAAAAACCAGTGAGGCTCCCCTTTTCCATCAAAGTTAAAGTGCTATATTTTCATTAGGAACATTAGACATGTGACTAGCTGTCACTATAGGCAAAATATTGAAATCAATTAAGAGTTCAAAAGGGGATTACTATGTGTATTACTCAGGGGTTGGGAGAAAAGGGCTGTAGCTGATTCCCATCCCCAGCCTGACTTGATATAGGACTCAAACCTGGATGAATAGATTTCAGAGAAAGCAACATTGCTACCCAGCCAAGTCTCAGTAATACAGTAATACAGTAATACATCTCAAATCCACTTCCTTGTCCACCATCAAATCATAAATGGATACCATCTTATTGCATACAGAGCTTGCATTTGCCAATAGCACTTAAGGACCAGTCCTTAGACTAGGGATACAAAGTTAGAAGATGAAATCACATTAAATTGGATATCACCTTGTCGGGAATGGCCTAATACACTCAGCTGCATTAAATACTTTTGAATTGCAAACTACCTAGCCTTGGTAGTACTAGGGTTTAAGGCACCCTGTTATTAAGCTGCTTAAGACCAGCTGCCTGCAATTACTGCAGGGTTCGAATCTCACCAGGCTCAAGGTTGACTCAGCCTTCCATCCTTTCTAAGGTAGGTGAAATGAGGACCCAGTTTGTGGGGGCAATAAGCTGACTTTGTATAAATATACAAAAGGATGAAGGCTATTGCTGAACACATTGTAAGCCGCCCTGAGTCTTCGGAGAAGGGCGGCATATAAATCAAATTAAAAAAAAAAAAAAAATGCCATAATACTATGCCTAGTAACGTAAATCATCCACAAGATGTGCAATGCTTCCAAAGAAAGGCAGAGACAAATAGGGATAATCATGCAGGCTGCCATTTCTCCATTTTCAGTAATATCTTGCAGAGATTGATAAAATCAACTACCCCAGTGTGGGAAAACTGTTTACAGAAGATAATCTGAATGCAGTCTAGGAAGCACAAAAAGGCATAGTGAGATGGTCTATTCCCTTAACACTTTTTTTTAAAAAAAAGCATTCTACACATTAACTACTGATTTTCTTGGCTCCTTGACTAAAATGGAAACATTCAGTTCAACCTGGGAATGTAGAATTTGTGCCTTATCTCAAATCATGCTTGCAAGAAGAGAAAAACAACTGACCAATTTATATTTTATGTACTTATCAAAGAAGGGAGTTGTCAATCTCTACATCTACACTTGATTTAAAATTTGCAGGGCGAGAACAAAGAATACTAACGGGGACGCCAAGACAATAAGAAATCTAGAGAAATGCTTATTAAGAAATTGCCCACAGATGCAGCATCAGAAGGATACAAACTCAAAACAACTGGATGAGCACTAACAGCAGGAAAGTTTGTTTATGTTCCAGAACTTGGCTGCAAGGAAGCTGAGAAAAAAAGATAAATCTTACAGACAGCTTGTCTCTCCCCTATTTCCCTGTCCTTTGGAATCCCTATTTCAGTTCTGGGATAATTAGCAAGGGGAAATCAATGTACTGTATTTGCACTAATTGGAGAGGAAGAGATTACAAGACAGTAAGCAAGCACATAATGGGGAATACACACTGAAAGGAATGCTTTTATGCTTTCTTAGCTCCTGGCTGGAGGCAAAAGAAAACCTTTAGGCTGAAACTGATTAGGATCCTGCCAATTTCAGCTTCAGTGGAAGCTGGCCCAGGGTGCTAGTAACTGATCAAGGTCACTGAGCTTGTTAACAGGAAGGGAGATTCCTGTGTTTATCACCTTTAAGGAAAATGCTGTGCTGCAAAGAAAAGCAGTTTAGGAGGAGACAGGTTGTTCAAGCAATCTCTTCCCTCTGCAATGGAGGAAATTCTATGAAGAGGGAAAAGCAAAAAATACAGAAAATAGGCAAACAGGCACAGGTATATTACTAGTTGGAATACAAACCTAAATATATTTTGATAATTAAATTAATTTTGCCATTTCAGTCCAGCATTTGGCAGAGTTAGACGGACGGAGCTCATTTTGATTGGAATAAATACTTTGGGAATTGTACATTCAAGTTTGTTCTCCAAGAACTCCATCTTTACTATTTTCTGGACTGCTTGATTGAAATGAGAATTGAAGACATTGTTTTATATAGTACTTTCAAAAGATGAAATAGATTATTTTTGAAAATCTGTGCAACACTCTTTCAAAGATGCCTTAACATGTTTCCTTTTTGTCTTCCTAATGCATTTAATTTCTGCTTGAAATTATTGAAGTCATGATTTTTTAAAAACTTGTTTCATTATATTAATGAATGTACACTAATAATGCACATACTTCTTCCTCCATCTAAAATGAAATAAACTGCTCAAATTGTATAGTTCCAATGTCACGAAAACTACTAAGAAACAGATTATCTTGATTAGTTAAAAACTTACTATGGAAAATTTTATTATATAACTTTGTAATTTGGGTGGATTCTGCCAGAAATCCATGGGTACTTTTAAGGCTAGCATGGTAACTGAAAACATCACAAAAGTGATTGTAGTCATAACACATCTACTATAGAAATCACATGCAACATAACATCGTATAAAAATATTTAAATATTTACAAAGGATTATTACATGATTTCAAATAGCACAAAGCAATATACAGTAATTACAAATGAAACAGTTATGGCATTTGGTCCATTAATTTTTTTTTAATACAAAAAGGCCAGAGAGACCAAAACAAAGTAACTTTAATCCCAAAAGCTATCCAAATATAGAGGTAATAATTGAGGCAATGAACAAAAACAATCTACTTGTTTTTGGAGAAAGGTCTTGTACATATATCACATCTTTCCTCTTCACAAAATATTATTTGTCTGCTTCTAATAATAACTTTAAACTTATTTTTAAACTTTAAACTTATTTTTTTTAAAAAAAAAGATTATGAGGAAAAAAATGATTTTTGACCCTATTTTAAAATCTGCAAAAATATTTAATTTATGTGTATTTTAGCAGTCTTGTAAATACAGTTTATGATAGAATGTGCTCCAGAATTCCTTGCCTGATTAATTGTTCACATTTCCAGCGTGGTAAGAAATGCTAAAGAGAAAAAAAAAATCCATTGTCAAATCTAAGGAAATATTTATCTTTTTTATGCACCACCCAAACCCACAAGGCAACATGAAAAGTAATATGAAATTATGTAGGAATTGTCTGTATCTGTACCTTTAGATACTTAGCCTAACATCAGTCTCCAAAGCTTAGCCAATAATTGGATTTTTAAGGGGAAATCCTCAAGGACAAGAATGAAATTTTGTGTATTTAATTCTTCGGCATTGAAAAATATGTTTTCCCTCAATTAACTTCCAGCGAGAAAATATTTAGTTCATAAAGAGAATTATATAATTTTTAGTTTAATATGCATTCATTCAAAATGAATTTTGTTGGATTTAATACAACTTCTAATTAAGTATACCTGGAACTACAATTTAAATGCTCAAGATGGTATTAGAATGAGGTGGAACAGAGGTAAGAAAAAATGGTTTCATAGATGCGCTGTGCCCCAGATTGACCAAATTCTCTCTTCTACATAACTTTTTTTCTTATTTATGGGAAATGGAAAGAATACTTTCTGATGCTGCTTAGAATATTTGTTTACTAATAGGGCAAAAATAATAATAGATCTTGTCTACTTATAAATACCTGGCTATTCTTCTTCAGCAGAATTGTTGTACCATCATCAATTTCAAATTCTCCATAATCTTTCAAACACCGAACCTAAAGGAAAAATAATGAGTAGTGCATTATTGGTAAATTAAGCATAAGCCTGTATTAAGAAGTTCTTCTGTTACATAAATTAGGCTCTTTTCTGAGCAGCATAATGAATTAAATTTAGATTGCAGTGATTATATTACATAATTTTGTATATTTTCAAGTTTGATAATGAACCAAGGTTTTCTTCTTTAAAAAAATAGTATATAATCTTCAGTTTTACTTACTTCAATGTACAAGTTTTTGGGAGGTTTAATGTCTTGTGTAAGATCAAGGCCATCTCCTCCTCCTATTGATCTCATATAGGTAGCCAACGACTTTTTATATTGGTTAAACCAAAGTATCTAAATATAAAAAGTTTAATCATGAAGTTAAGTATCACTTATATATACTGTTAAGTTAGATATCCTTCCAAACTATTAAAAGACAATACAAATAGAGTGAAGTCTGAAATCTCAGAAATTCTACTTAATAATGATTTCTAGTTTCTATAGGTCATGTATTGAAAAAAAACTACATAATTGTCACTAAACTTCATCTGAGAGTAAAACTGTAAACAATGTATTCTTAGTATACCTGAGAATTAAAAGTGATTCCATCTGCTTAACTAAATAAAATCAGAATATTTTGGAGCATAAGTGTTACAATAGGTTTACACATTTCACAATGTTAGGGTTTATTGAACTCTATTTTACTGAATAAACCATAACCAGCTATAGTTGCATATGTGGCTAAGCCATAAATTTTGGTTTATAGAACCAGTACCAGTTATTCCTAAAACTTCCATCTTCAGTGAACCGTTTCCTCAATGACCTAATATAAGCAGATTTTGTGAAAATTCTATATGTTTAAAGTGATGTGGTGATTTTAAATTAATATTTGTACTTAATACACTCTTCTTATATTCCTATATTTCCTATAATCTTCTGAAGCTACACACACACACACAGACACACACAGAGGGGGGGGAAGGGAGGGAGAGAGAGCTTACTTCATCCGCTGACATGTGAAATCGAACAGCATTTGGCAAGACACTACCATATTCCCACCTAAGTGCCCG